TCTTTTCTTTTTTTTTCCTAATCATAAAAATGCGTTAAGTTACATTACATTGAAATTTTTTTTTTTTTTTTAAATGATTCAATAATTTTTGATTATAGATGATTTCAGATAATCAATGATTAGAAAATGGTTGATAAAAGGAAATATTTTTCAGTAAATTTGTGGCTGATTGAGTAGAGTGTTATAATTTCATTGATTTCAAATATGGAAGAAGATTTTGAGCATCACTCTGCATTAGGAGATGACATTTTTGATGTATGTATTATTATTATTATAACTATTTTACATCATCATCTGTTGCTTTTTTAATGAAATACATTTAAAATAAAGTAAGGTAATATTATATTTATTGAAATTATGCATTATTACTTATAAAAAGATTTTGTTATTTATGTTAAAAAATTATGAGATTGATTATGTATTTTTCATTTTTACATGTACTTCATTTTTTTTTGTAATATGTTCAATACAATGAAACTGTAAAAATAGTTTTGTATGATAGATTATTGATAAAAGTCACTGAAATTAATAAGATTACTTTTATATTTTGTATAAATATATTAACTCAATGTCTTATTTTTATAATATAATAAGAAAATTGTGTTTATGTTTAATGTTATTAAAATGTTATGTATATTAAAATTTATGTTTAATGTTTTACAAAATACATATACACATTTCAATGTACATTTGAAGTGTTTATCGTTATTTTGTTAGTAGTTTATTATGTTTAACTAAATTAAGTATTATTATTATTTTCTCTATTTTTATTACATGTGAATAATAAAAAATACATTTTGTTATTATTTACTCTAAACACTCTTGAGTAGAGAAATTTAATAATAATAATTTTATTTAATTTAATGTAGGATACCATAATTCTGATATTATTGTTTTTCAGGCACTCAATTCCTCGGATAACGAATTAGCAAGTGATAAAAAATTAAGTAAAACAATACACGATCTTTACGTTGGACCCGATTTGAAACCTGAAACCTCCAACCAACCATATTCTGGTTTTGCACCCACGGAAACAAATCCTTCTCATTCTACATTTAAACAGTCTGAAATAATGTTTCCACGTATGCCCATATTAAACGATGATTTGAGTTACGAACCAAAGAAAACAACAAATGCAATCGACGAATTTTTAAGTTTTAATAATCCAAACACGACTAAAGTTGATAAGGGTGAAGAAAATGGACAGGAATCATCTGATTTTAAAATGGGGGATGATAGTTATTTAAACATGGTATCAATGCTTAACGATAACTATCCGAAAATCGATTTAAATGGAATCAGCGTTGATAAACCTGTCGATGTTGTCGTTGGTCTACCTGATCATTTTGTTATAAGAAATTACAATATGACGGATAAAATTGACGGAGAAAAAAATGATATATTGAATGAAAATCGTTTTGGAAATGATTTCATATTGAACGACAATGATTTTTTAAACAATTCAAATTTGCTTACTGGAAAGCAAATAACGACCGAATCATCTCGAGCATTTGAAGGAAATTCAAATTTAATCGGTGATCACGTATTAAATTTAGATTTTTCAAGCAGTCAAATGTACGTAAATAGAAATTATTCAAATTTTAAAACCGGAAATGGTAGAAATTCCGAAAATGTTAACGATTATAATTTTGGAACCTCAGCAACATTGAGTTTAAATTATGAAGATAATTCATATTGTTTTATGGAAGATAGAGATAAAAATTATGAAACATTTGCTGCGACTAAATCAATCGAAGAAAATAAAACGCGAAATCAAGAATTAAATTTTGAAGATACCGGAAATGGTTTGAATGACATTGATTTAGGTCTGTCGAAAAATGAATCATATAATACTAAAGAAGAAGGTAAAAATTATTTACTGTTTAATTAAGAAATTTGAAATGTTTTTTTTTTTTTTTTAAATTGTATTTTATTTATTATTTATTTATTTATTTATTTTTCTAGAAAAATATAATCCGTCGTTAAAACAATGAAAAGATTAAAAGTGGAACCTAAAAGAAATTTAAACGGTTTGGTTGATGAAGATGAATACAAAAATTTTGATTTTAAATATCAAAATAAGAGAATGGTAGATTGTAACAAGGAAAATAATTTACATTATGTCAGGTACCAGCACCTGGGAGATAGAAATATCAAGATTTGGCAATGTGGTGTTTGTAAGTCCTGATCCTAAATAATCCTTCATCCTTATTTCTAATCCATAAAAAATTTTTTAAAAAAAAAATTTTTCTCATCATCCTTTTTATTCCTTATTTATTACATCCTTCAATCCATTTTTCATAATTTTTTAAATAATGGATAATAATATTAATAATAATAATAATAATAATAATTAAATTATTTCCTTTCTTATTACCTTTATTTTTTATTCACCACGTTGTTCAAAATAAGGAATAAAATTTCATTTCATTTTTTTTTTTTTTTTTTAAATTGTTAAGAATTTAATTTTTTAAAAATCCAAATCAGGTGGAAAAGATTTTAGACATCAGTATACCTTGACAAGGCATCTTCCAACACACACCGATGAAAGAAATTATAAATGTGAAACGTGTGGAAAAGCTTTTAGACAGGTTCGTGACAACCGATTATTTTTTTTTATTAAATTAATTGTTTGTTGTTTATTTTAATAGAAAATGAAACCTTTTTCCAGATGTCAACGTTGAGCCAACATCGTGCAATACACTCCGATGCACGTCCTTACGTTTGCGAATTTTGCAGAAAAACATTTAATAGAGTATCCACATTGATTTCACATAAAAAAACTCACAGCGATTATAAACCGCATAAGTGTCACATATGCGGAAAAGCTTTTCATCAAAAAGGTTTGTTTGAATTATTTAAAATAAAAAATAATAATAATAATACTTAAACATTGTTAATTTTTTTTTTTAGGAAATCTTAGAAATCATATATTTACTCATACGAATGAAAGGCCCTACAAATGCGATATATGTACAAAAGGATTCAATCAAATGTCTAATTTGATGTGTCACAAGGTTAAAATTTATACCAACTTTTTATTGATTCGAATATCCATCAAATAAATTATTGTAAATCCTTAAAATTAATATTTTCAGGCACACACGCATTCTGAAAAAGGAATGTATCCTTGCATTCGTTGCGGTCAAGTTTTTAACAAAAGATTTTCGTTAAGAAATCACGAAGAGTATGTTCACGGTATTAAATACCCGAGTAGAGATGTCAATAATGAAGAAAAGTGAGTGAAAATTTATTTTTATTTTTTTTAAAATTTATAATGACATTTGTTTGAAAATTGAAAAAAAAAAAAAAAAATATTTTTTAGAAAAAGTGTTAGGGTTGTTCATTTACCAAATGATAATAGAGGAATTATCGAACAGTTTGATAAGGGTGGAAAACCTACGCCGCCAAATAAAAGTCTTTTGCAAAGATTGAAAATAACTAAAACTTATATAACGGATCGAGGAGTCGTCACTGAAAAAGTATTAAAATCATTTAAAAACTTTTCATTTTTCCTTTATGAATAAGAAATTGTTTGTATTTATTATTATTATTATTATTAAAATTTTAGAGTATGTGCGTAGGAATAGTTATCGATTTGATAAAGACTAAAGCTATGGAAACAACAATTCAAAATGGTCAAACGCCATTTGCATTATTTAAACCTTCTTCTGGAATTCCAGTTTTAGTTAAGGTTTGTATTTTTATTTTTATTTTTACGATTTCTTTACGCATTTTAATAAGATAAAATTTTTTTTTTTTCAGGTATTAAATGCAAATAGCGATACGCAACATATGTTAGTTCCAGCAACACCGGATGATTTAAAAGTTGCTGGAAAAATAACGGTTGCACCAAATTCAGAAACGACAAGTGTTAAAACTGTTCAAATTAAGGTATTAATTTAAATAACAATTTAATTTTTCGGCGAAAGGTTATTTTTAATAATTTTTTGTTTTTTTTTTTTTTTTAAAGGTTCCTGTTGTTGCGACTGTAATACAAACTTTTGATGAAGCTGGAAAAATGAGAATCGACGTCGAACCTCCTGGTCCCGAATTAGAAAATCAAAACAATGAACTTCATAAAAATAGTAAAAAAAATGTTACTTATAAAGTGGAACCCGGTATATTAGATTAAAATTAATTATGAAAAATTAATTTCGGGTTCAATTTTTTTTTTTTTTTTTGTTTAATTTTTTTGTATTTTTGACTTTTTAGAAATATTTTGCGAGCCTGTGGAAAGTGAAAATGAAAATAATCAAGAATTTACTCATCAACCTGCCGAACCGAATAACGTTCAGGTGAAAAATTTTTTAATACCTGATAAAACATTTTATTTTATTTTTTTAAATTATTTTAATTATTATTATTATTTTTGTGATGTAGTTATTAAGCATAGACGATGCGAAAAAAATATTTAATAATACTTCAAACGATTCGATTTACGGAGAAGTTAACCAGGAAAATTCACCTAATACGAATGATTTTGGACCTTTTGGTACGGTCATGACTTTTATGAAAGGTGGAGAATATGGAGGAAATGGACAAAATCATATTTCTCAGGCTAATGCAACCGTTAGTTTTTTTAAATTCTTTATATGTTTTATTTAAAATGTTATTAAAAATTATTAATTTTTTTTTGCAGAACGGAGAAGAATTATATTTGGTACCGGGTGAAGAAACTAAAAATTCCGAAGACGAAGTTACTGAAATTTTATAAATGATAATATTTACGTCATTTGTTGATTACAATAAAAAACAAAATGAATAATAATTTTTTTTTTTATTTATCGTGTAATTTTTTCAATAATTAATCTAATTCAGGGTATCAGAATGACTCAAAAATGTGAAAGGGATATCAGGAAAAAAATGTTTACATTTAATATTTTGATAGTTACGGTTATAAAATTAAATTAGTATGGAAAAGTTATATTATTAAATGATAATTAAATTAGATTTTAAGGTTTTTTTTAAAAATTCAAATATAAATTTAATTATAATATATCTAAAAAAAATTATTTATTTTTATTTAAAAAATAATATCCGACATTTTGTAAATAAAAATAATAATCAGTTGTGCCAACTGTTTCGTTGATTATTTTTAATGTTTGATTTCATGGCGTCTGTTTACTATTATTTTTACCTGCTGGATTTTAAAATTTTTTTTTAATGGCATTCTTTTTATAATTTACTTAATTAAATAAAAAAAAAAAAGAAAGAAAGAAAGAGAAATTAAAGTAATTTTATTATTTTAACATTAGGTATTTTTTTTTTTTAATTATTGTCGTTTTTAAATTTGTTAAAAAGTATTGTGAGTACAATTTTTAAAAAATTTTTATCTTTTTTTTTGTACTGTAGAATTAGTTTTAAAATGGGTTGTTTTGGTGGTGAAGCTATTGAAGATTTATCTGGAGATGATAAGCAACGTATTCGGGGATGTACAGACGTCTTAATGTTAATTATTTTTATTCTATTTTGGTTTTTACTTGTGAGTAGTACTATTTTTTTAAAACTTTTTTTCTATAAAAAGTTTTCTTTTTTTTTTTTTTTTTGTTAAAATAACGTTTTTTAATTTTTGGGGGAGGAGTGAAATAAAATATTTCTGTATGTCTTTTTTTTTTCTGCAGATCTTAATAGCAGCTTTTGCTTTGGTTTTTGGACATCCAAAACGTCTCACTCACGGTTATGATGATTTCGGCAATATTTGTGGTGCTGAAAATGATAAGATTGGATCATTGGAACATTCAGGACTTGATATGAGACAAAGACCTTATTTATTTTATTTAGATATAAGTAATATAAAAAAATCATTAAAAATTTGTGTCTCTAAGTGTCCCGATAGAGATTTAAATAGTATGAACGATTTAAGAAAATTTTATCTGGAGACGAATTCTAGTTTATGTCAGTACGATTTCAAATTTGAAGATGTTAAAGCTAGACAACCGGAATTATTTTCTAGTGCAATGGGTCCATGTCCAGTTTTTCCAGTATATAAAAGGTAAATAAATATTTTACTCTTATTTCAAACATTATGTATATATATTCTAAAATAAATCTTATGAAAAAATTTAATTTTTTATTCAGCATAAAAGTTTTAAAAAGATGTGTTCCACAAAATGTTTACGATGTTGCTAAGAATATAATTTCGAATACATATGGAGCTATTAATAGTTGGGATGCTGTGGAGCATGTTTTATCTGATTTATATGCTACTTGGCCACACATTCTAGTATTTTCTCTATTGGCTTTTGGTATGTTAATATCGAAACATAACTAATACATATATAAGACAATTTTTAAAATTTTGAATATATTAATTAGTTTTTATTGTTATATTTGCAGTGTTTTCCTTAATTACAATATCATTTGTACATTTCCTTGCTTCGATTGTTGCTTGGATATTTATGATAGTTATTTCAATAGCATCTTTGGGTAAGTTAAAATAATGTTGTAATTTAAAAAAAAAAAGTTAAATTGAATGATTTCATTATTAAATTGTATAATTTCAGCTTGCACTGGTGTTTTGTGGTGGACTTATGCAACTATTAAGTGGGATTTAGACGCAAAGCCTATAAATACTTGGCTAATCAGAACCGTACATAATGAACAAGCATTTTTAATATTTAGCATTGTCGCAACTATTTTAACAGTAAGTCCTAATCGAAATTAAAATTTAAAAAGTTTAAATTTGCAAAAAGTAATTGTTTTTTCTTTTTAGATAATTCTTCTTCTTGTCGTTTTTGTAATGAGAAAACACGTTGGATTTATTTCAAATCTGTTTAAAGAATCTGCTAAATGTATGTCTGTAAATCCCATCATTATTTTCTACAGCCAATAATTACATTTCTTATATTGGTTGGATATTTTGCCTTTTGGTTAACTGTTGCCGTTTTTCTTGCTACTGCAAGTTAGTAATTTTTCATTTTTTTTTTTTTAAAATTATCAATCAGTTTCTTATACGATAAGTAAAAATGTTTTTTGTGATTTATTTTTATCGATATTGTTTCATAAATCTTTAAATTTAATAAAAAATATTTATTTACATATATATATATATAAATTGTAGATTACACTAGCGAAGATAAAATGAAACCATATGAAAATTTACAAATTCAAACAACCGTGCCTACGCAGCAGGTAAATTCATCGTCCATAGGATTTATAGTACCTAGAAACTACAGCACAACAGATTTGCAACATAAAAGTAATTTTTTTTCTGTGGGAGTTTCATAGTAAAAAAGATAAATTATTTAATAAGTAAATTGAGACGGTTGAAATTTAAATAAAATTTTTTTTTTTTAGGTTTCACAAGAGTTAAATATACCGACAGTACGTGGGTTAAATACATGTGGTGGGCACATTTAATTGGACTCATATGGAATTCGGAATTTATATTGGCGAGTCAGCAAATGGTTTTATCCGGAGCAGTTGCATCCTGGTATTTTAAAAGGTATATATATATACCTACCGATTATTAAATAATAATTTCCCCTTTAAAATTTTAAAATAATTTCAAAAATAAAATTTCAGGAGTAGAAAAGATGGTGGCGGTGATTGGTTTATACTTCAAGCAATACGACGTCTTATTTGCTATCACATGGGATCAGTTGCTTTGGGATCGTTTCTAATAACATTATTTAAAATTCCTAGAATTATACTTATGTACATACAGACAAAGTAAGAAAATATACACGAGCAGTTTGACAAAAATACAAAAAAATACAAAAACTTATATTTAAAATTTGTTGCTGTTGTTGTTGTTGTTGTTTCAGACTTAAAGCCAACAGCGAAAGCGATTGGGCTAAATGTTTGCTTAAAAGTTGCACTTGTTGTTTTTATTTAGTTGAATGTTTTATACGTTTTATGAATCACAATGCATATGCTGTCATAGCAATGCAAGGACATAATTTTTGTACTTCTGCTAAAATCGTGAGTATGAATCCATGAACGTCTTCCCACATACTCTGCATCGCGACGGCCTGTAACGTTTTTATTCTTCTTTCAGGCTTTTAATACAATCATGAACAATGTTGTCAAATTTACGACGTTAAATTCGGCAGGAGATTTTATATTGTTTTTGGGTAAATGCATCGTTACCCTCTCGACGACGATAATTGCCGTCATTTATTTAAAACACGAAGAAGATTTACATTTTTATGCGGTTCCCGTATTAATCACTGCCATATTTTCATTTTTCATAGCTCACGCCATACTTTCTTTATACGAGGTACGAATCAGTTTTAGAACTTTGAATTATTTTTAATAATAATAATAATAATACTCTCCTTATTTTACTCTCATTATTAACTTATTCGATAAATTTTTCAGGCCGTCATCGATACATTATTTTTATGCTTGTGTGAAGATTCTAGACTTAATAAGGATTCTGGTAAATGGAAAGAAAGTTTACTCGTCGCCAATAGTAATTTCATAGCACAGGAACTCGCTCCAATGAATTCTTAAAAAAAAAAAAAAAAAACAAATGATGATAATAATTTGTAAATGTTTTTTTTTTTTTTTTTAAATTTATAAAATGCCATTGCTTAAGACTAGAAATATTTTTTTTTTTAAATGAAATAATTTGATGTGTCTTATATTATAAAAGACTGAATATTATGAAGCTTAATTGGGCCGTAAAGAAGAAAAAAATGGCAGTTAAGAAAAAACAAAATGGCGGTCACACATTTAAAAAAAAATTTTGAATGATTAATTAAATGTTATGAAAGTGCCTACGGAGAAATTATCGCTTTTTATATAAAAAAAATTTAAGAGCTTTCGCAAATTAAAATGATTTTAAATATTTTTGTTTTTTTTACAATTTGAATTTTATCAAAATTAAATGATAATCGTACTTTTAAAGGGGAAAACAAACGGGAGGTGGGGGGAGTTGTGTTACTCGTTTATTTAAATTTTTTTTTTTTATTTATTTGCTAAATTATTATTAAAATATTTTTTTTTATATGAATGTAAATTAATTTAAAAAAAAAAAAAAAATCTTATTTATATATTTAATTAATTATATGTTTATATATATATATATTGTATATTTATTTTTTTTTTAATAATGGTAAAAATAAAATGAGAAAAAATTTGTGTTGTGTTTGTGTGTGTCGACTAATCGAAGTGTGCACATTATCACTGTTACCTTTGTGCCTGAAATTAAATTTTTAGAAATTTTATTTTAACTGTAATAGTAGAAAGGGGCAAATATTTTTAAATAAATGTTTTTTTAATTTTAAATTTTTTATTATCTCGCTTTGTGTATTTTTAAAAATTGTAATTTTTATATGTCTGTGTTTAATAATAATATTATCGATTGCTTTTTATCTTAAAAATAAATAATTATAAAATGATGAGTTTTATTTAATTTTAATAGGTTATTAATAATTATTTAAAATCTTGCTTAATTTAACTGAAGGTTATAGGATAATAGTAAAATTAATTTTCATTTTTTTTTTTCTGATTCGAGAAAAGGTTTCAATAAATAAAATAAATAATTAATTAAAAATAAATTTAAGAATTTTATTTTACTATAATCGATTAAAGGCATTCATTTGTTGACCTAATTTATTAATTTAAAAAAAATCAATACTACATTTACTACATTTTTAAGTAACATTATAAGCATAGATAAATTAAATTAAAGATTTATTTTATGTAAAAAAAAAAAAAAACTTGACGAGTAATTGTTATAAAGAGCTTTGAAACTATTACGACTAAGTTTAATAATCTTCGATTTAATGATAATAAAATTTTAAATAAAAAATAAAAAAACCTGCCATGATTGTCTTTTGTGATGCTTTAAATAATATTATAAAATCAATTAAAGGAAATTTATTTATTTATTTTTATTCCAATTAATATTTATTAAATTTGTGTCGCTAATATAAAAAAATATATTTTTTTTATATTCTGTGATATCGAAAGCATAATTTTAGTTTAAAAAAAAAAAAATTGTTTAGTAATAAAACTACAACCAATATGTATTAAAAAAAAAAAAACTATTTTATTTATGTATAATAATAATAATAATAAAAAATAATAATTGTAAATAAAAAAAAGAAAACTATAATTTGTTTTAATGAAGCTTGATAAAAAATTTAATAAAAAAGAGCAAAAAAAAAAGAAAAAAGTTTTTAACTTTGCTTTTCTATATTTGTGATAAAGAAAAAAAAAAAAAAAAGTATGATGAGTAAAAACTAATTTTTTTTTTTTTTGTTTAATAATAATAATAATAATGATGTAAAAATATCAGAGACTGGTTTTTTTTTAACATATTACATAGCACATTTTTGATCTACGAATTGGATATAATTTGTAGCTCCTTTAACTAATATATAACTTGATGCTAAACCAGCTGCACTACATACTGCAACATTTTCTGGCAAAATACTTCTCAATATAGCCCATAATAAAACTGAACTGAAATTGAACATAATCGATCCGAGAGATGAAAAACCATATCTGGCATGTTTGCTTGTTTCTTTAATGTGTGGTCTAGAGTACAGATAACATCCAGTGCCAAAAAGTGTGGTTGCAAGTAATATATTGGTTAAATCTCTTTTAGGAAATAAACTGAAATTTTACAAAAAAAAATTAAATATAACGTGATTGTTAAAAAAATGGGATAACATTAATTTTCAGAATTACGCAATTGATTCAAAAAAAAAAAATTATAAAAATTTAACGTCCATAATTGATATTAAAAACTGCGCAATATTTTTTTTTGCATATTGAATTATTAATTAAATCTATATATGTATATGTTTTAAATTATACAATTTAAAAAAAAAAATGAATAGGTAACGTGGTCGTTGACAAAATAAAAAAATGGTAACTCACCTGAATCGCATAGAAGGATTCAAGACATTGATTGATAAAATTGTGTAGCTAGCAGTTCCTAAAGCTGGAACATAATAATAAAGTAAATTTTGCCGTGTGAAAGGTTTTAAACATGAATCATTCCCTTTTTTCAATGGGGGATCAATTTTTTCCGGTTCTTTTCCTCTGGGTTTTGATGAATCCATTTGTCTTAATGTGTAGCGTATATCTTTACTACACGAAGAGGTTCCTAACTTAGGCTGGGCGGCTGACTTAAAGAAATGAACTGGGAACATGTTAAATTTTTACTTTTAAAAAAGGCTGTGAAATTTTTACCTTTGACTTTTTTTTTTTTTTTTAAATTTAAAAAAAAAAAAAAAAAATTAAATCAATCAATTTTTTTCATAAATTAAAATTTTATCCTTATATAAATTAAAATTTATAATTTTAAAATAATTCAACATTTTTTTTTTTTGTAATCCCAAATATTTTGATTCCTGAATAAATAAACTACATGTTTACTAACTGGGAATTTTATTTCGCAACCAACAAAGTTGTGTTTTGTTTTTTTTTTTCCCCCCTTTCCCGTTTTAATTTATTTAAATATTATTATTTTCGAATGCAACAAAGTGTTTTTTTTTTTTTTTTTTTTACATAACTTTATCAAATTATCATTAAATATTATAACAACTTGTAATGTAATAATATTAACTCGTAAAGAAATTTTAAAGTCTGGTGTAACTGTTAAATGGCGGTACGTAACGGCGTCAAAGGAAAATTCAATTTAGTTTATATTTTTTCATTATTTTTGGTCTGAGATTTTTATATTGAATTCAAATTAATTTTTTTTTTTTTTATTTTAAATTATTCTTGGGTGAGTTTTAATGATTACGTTTATTTTTTTACTCATTATCATTTTTTAATTATTGTTTGTAATATTTTTTTTTTTTTTTTAAAATCTTTCATTAATTTTAAGTTTAATGCAACAGGTTAGGTTTTTATTTTCATTTTTAATATATATATAATTTATTAATTTATTTTCCAAAAGTGTGATTTATTACATTAATTTTTTTTTTTTTTTTTTTCAGATCATGGAGCAAATGAACTTAGGTACCCCAAATAATTCAGGACCTTCAAGTCCGGCCACAACTCCTACAGGATCACCTTATTTACCTGCTTTTTTATTAGGAGAATCACAATCACCAATAGCAGGTTCAACTAGTCCTAAAAACAAAAGAGTTCATTTTAGCGATAATCATAGTACTGTTAAAGATAATGTTAGAAATGATCATTCAAATACTCAATATTTTTTATCACAGGTTTGTTAAAAAAAATAATTTTTCTTTTATTTTAATTTCAAGGGACATAATTAAATTTAAAATTGTTTTTATTTAGATAATGAATAATCCTGGCTCTTTAAATTCATCAATGCAGTGTAATACAAATGAAAAAAGTAATGGTCCACCCATTGTTGGACTTTTCGACACAATAAATTCCCCCCCTCTTGGAAACGATTCGCAATCAAATGATGTTCAACAATATGTCTCGTAAGTATTTCAACTAACTTTTTCATTAATATTTTGTTTTAATAGATTTTGTTTTTTAATTATTTTTTGTATTTTTAGATTTGCCTCAAAACATTATTCAGATTTTAGAACTTCACCCTTAAAATCTTCAGATTCGACGGAAAATAATTGGGTGACAGTTTTCGGTTATCCTCCTTCTGCGGCTTCGTTCATATTATCACAACTGGGACATTGCGGAAACATAATTGCTACAAAATCACCAGCTAAAGGAAATTGGATGCACATTCAATTTAGTTCTAAAATAGAAGCGAGAAGAGCTTTAACAAATAATGGAAAAGTTTTTGCTAATTCTGTAATGATAGGTGTCATACCTTGTAGAGATCAGGTGAGTGTTAACAACATCCATGGCGTACATTTAATGCGAGAAGAAGGTTAAAAAATTTTTTCCATTTTTGATTTTTTTAGGAAGTTATAACAGATTATTCTATAAATAAAGAAAATTTAAATGCATCAGTATCATATACACCTACATCTCCATCTGTGTGTAGTCCAAGAAACAGATTATATCCAGATTTAAATGGAACATATAATAATAATACATCTATTTATGAAAGTCCCATTTCGAGTCCAACAAGACATTCCAATTTAAGGTCTTTGCAAAGCAGAGTGGGAGACACAGAAGTAAGTTACAATTTATCCCTTTATTTAAAACTAATTACATATTTTTTAAATAACAAACTTATTTTAACGTTTTAAGGTTTATAGTAGTGGAAACACACCTCAAAAAAATACAGGATTGGTTGCTAAAGCTATGGAATATGTTTTCGGATGGTAAAAAATTATTTTCCTTCCATCTTTTTTTTATCCAGTATCGATTCCTTGGAATAAATTTTTTTTAAAATGAGTTTCATTATAAACTTGGAATTAAATCTCCATTCATGGATTTCAAAATTTTTTTTTTTTTTTTTAACCTTACAAAAAAAAAGTAAAATGGTGTAACTTTTGCTTCGATCGAAGTCAAATAATAATAATAATAATAATAATAATTATTAAACGGGAGGAAGAAAAAAATTGCATTTAATGCAATTAAATTAAAAAATAAATTTCTTTTAAAAATGTATATATATATATAAATATATTTTTTCGAAATTTAATATATACAAAATAAATAAATAAATTTTTTTTCGAATTTCAAACGTTTTTATTTTTATAATTATACATAATAATAATGATAATAATGATAAAAATTAACAATTTATAACAAATTATAATAAATGAATAAAAAAAAAAAATTATTATTATTATTATTTAATAAAATGATGACTAGTTGATAAATATTATTTATATAATTTTCGATTTTAAATATATTCATGTGTATTTGTACGTGTGTATTCTTCGACCCTTTGGCACCTTAAATACTCGAACGAAATTATTTTTTTTCATATTCCTTTTCGATCAGGTATATATCGTGTAATACCTAAAAAAAAAAAAAAAAAAAAATTAAAATTCATTCGTTTTTACAAATTGTTTTAATTTAAAATGGGGGAGGAGAGGGGGAAGGGGGGGGGCAAACCGCACTTCTAAAATGCAAGCCATGCTCCACGCTTGTACCCTGCAACTATTTTGACAATATTGTCCATCTGCGTTTGTTAATTCCGGAAGTCCTCGCCAATGAGATTCGCATATTTCCTGATAATGATTTCCCAAATACGTCCTATAAAAAAAAAAAATTTCATAGAATATGAATTGTAATTTAAATTGTAATTTAAATTGTAATTTCAAAAATCACTCACTTGACTTCGGAAATCGATTTCAAACATTCTTCCCTGCCAAACTGTCGAGAAAAATAAATTTTAGCTCTTAAAAAATACCCGACCGGCCACAACCATTCCTGTAAAAAATAATAATAATAATAATAATAATAATAATAATTTCAAAATTGAATTTTTTATTCGATGATGATGATGATAATAATTAATATCTAACCGGTCCTTGATGATAATTAAAACCTTGAGCTGTTTTTATATTATCCGAATGATCGTCGTTGTTGTAAAATCCGTTATAATTCCAATCCGCCGGATCTAATGTTTTTATACCTAGAGGACCTAGAAGAATATTTTCAACTTTTTTAATGGCGGCCCAAGCATTTTTCGGATCGACCATTTCAGGTGCCTAAAATTAAATGCACAAGACTCGTGAAAAATAAAAGTCAAGGTTGAACCTTAAATCAAGCTGACATTAATAACTAACCACTGTCAAAGCAATGAGAAAATTAGGTCTCAACTGATAATCTGACCAGGGTGGCGATGCTCCAACGCTATCCTTATAAATTTGCCTTCGATGAATTAATTCCGGTTTCGTTTCCGTCTGTGAAATTTTTTCAGGTATCCAAAACATTTTTTCAAAATTTTCCAAAATTTTCCTTTCCCAATCTTTGAACGACCATTTCTCTACTTCACCTATCGATGAACGCAGCATTTTTTAGAAATTTTTTTTTTAAATTAATGTTTTTAAAAATGGAAAATTCGACTCAAAACCTTTTCCGTTAAGTTTTTCGACTCCCGAATAGGGATAAATTCCTTTTTCGTTTAACGAGTGCAATCGAGTGACGACAGCCTTACACAATCCTACCAATTCTACGGCGGAACCATTTCGCGGCGTTGCGGGTTTTCCCCTGTTTCCCGTTTTCGAATCCGAACCCATTTTATCCATCCAAGTACCGCAATTAAATTCATTTCCACCGTACACGAAACCCGTGTTCGTATCAATCCCGATTTCATTATTAAAACCTTCGTCGGTCATGTGAGCGTCGATACCTGGCCCTGCATTTCTTTCTCTGAAGGATAATTTTTTAAAATGCACGTTGAGAGCTTCTTGCATTATATCAAACAATGGCTGATTCTGAAAATGGGAGAAAATTTTATTAAAACATAAAAATTTTTTAATTTTAAAATTTTTATTTTTCAGGTGTATAATTTTACCACGAGTCCAGGACCCAAAGGTGGACTGTCATCGTTTGGAAAAATTCTCGATACCATTTCTTTCAAAATCTCGTGTCCGTCAGGTACCAAATCAATGTACGAAATGATAGAATGCAACCACCACCAAACGGCATCTCTACAATTATACCTAGCGTTCACTCCTTGATCCAAAAGGTTTGGTATAAGACCGTGACGAAGGCACGAGGCGTATCCGAGAATATGATACCTGAAAATTTCAAAAAAATTCAATAATGTTCCAAATAATTTTCCCCTTTTTATATTTAAATGTCGCGTACTTTGCATCTTCGAATCTTCCAGTTAATAACAATAATCCTCTTAAAGATATAAATGTATCTCGCCCCCACGACCTCATATATCCGGTTGAAAAATGAGGTAAACCAGCACTCATCGTTATTTTTCTCTTTCCGTCATCGGACGCGACCATGTTTGCAGAAAATGGCGGTAAAGAAGAAGAATCAACGACGCCGACGCACTGAACAGAACCCAATGCAAGAAAACGTATAAAAGTCGAACCGTTTTTAACAAATCTTAAAGTAAAAATGAAAATTTTTTTTTTTTCTCCATTTTTGTTAAATTTAAATTTTTTTTTTTGAGCAAATCTTACTCGCTCATTTGATACGCAGCTCTCGACTTGAGCAAATAGCAAATTGACGTCACTATTAATTCGAAATAACTGGGTACTAAATATTTTGGAATCTGACGTACATTTTCGAATATTTTTTCTAAAATGAGAGCTAATTCCACGGTAGCTTTGCAAGTCTTCAAACGTCCAATAACGTAATCTTTAATTCAGAAAAAAAAAAAAAAATGGAGATAAAATAATAAATAAAATCTTTTTAATTAATTTGTGATAATTTACCCAACATCCAATCGCCCTGTCTTAAATTATTACATAATGGATGACCCAAATCATTTTTCATAACAACTTCTCGAAGAACGGATTCAAAACCTTAACAAACAAATTGAAACAATAATAAACTTTTTTTTTTTTTTTACAGATAAAACAAAAAATTGTTTTCGAAAACGTACCTTGAAGTCCGCAATAAACAAGTTGACCATATCCAGGTATGAAATACGAACCCGTACCATCTTCTAAATCTTCTTCTGTGCATCTATACAAAGCGTGATTCAAATCAATTAAATTTAATTTCGATACGGCAGAAAATATTTCCGAATCGAATTCAAAATTAATAAATGATTTTATTTTTTCATCGAGCCCTTGTAAAAGGGGACGAATGTCTTCACGGGGTGAAACGCTGAAATAAAAGTTTTGTGCTTATGTAAAAACTCTGGATAAGACGAACTTAATAATAATAATAAAAAAAACAAAAAACTACAAACCGGAAAACAATAATGGAACCAGGTACGTAATTTTCAAATTCGATTTCACAAATTTTAAAATCGTTTTCAACTAATTTTATCATTTTACTTTCAGGTATTTTTAAATTTTGATCCATAAGCACGTGGTAGTTTGACAAACCGTTAATATATTCATCATTCGGTTTAAATTCTGTCGCAGAACTGAAAATAAATCCGTTGAAAAAAAAACGTTTTTTTTTTTAATTCAAATTTTAAAAAAATTATTAAATGAACTCACTCATCATCTTCACGTAAGATTTTGGCTTCTAAAATAATTTCAATTAATTCTCCTTCTATTTTTAAATTTTTAACTGCCCTCGTTGGATTATCGTGATGAAATGCAGTGTAAGACACCAAAATTATACTTTCGTGTGTGATCGGATTGTGTCTCGTTACGGCAATCACATCATCGTTCATTTGATCGACAAACACCTGATACAAATCGCCATAAATTAACACAAGGTAAAATAAAAGTTATAATTAATTTTAAAAAATTCTAATCACCTGATCAAACCCATTTTCACTTAACTCTCCGTGAATTTTATTAAGAGCTTTTCTAACGGAAATAAATCCCGTGCTTAAATTAACCGAGGAGGTATTTGTAGCGGAATCATCCGACCAAGAAGGATATAATCTTTTTTCACTAACGACATTAATCTGCAACAATACATCAATTGATTAAAAATAAAAATAAATGTAAATTTTAAATCGGTACCGGGCCAACACGAAAGTACGATTCTGTTTTTTTTTTTTAAATTTACAAATTTAGAAAAACCTACGTGATGTGGTACCAATTCATCGAAACCTCTTGTGCTACCGATTCCACAACAAGCCATAGAAACTAATGCAGAAGTTGATAAAGAATCAAAAACTGATCTTTTGCTAATGAGACTTGGATTATCGTGAGTTACATCATAAAATAGAGCATGAGAAACGCTGGGGAGCAAAGTACTTTTTTTCCTTTCGTGAAAACTACCGACGGGTTTTCCACCGAACCTAAAAAAATTTATTTTTAAAATTTGTTAATTATTTCATCAAATTTTTAGACTTTCGACTAGTTTTTTTTTTGTATTTTTAAACATTATACCTGTGAATCAGTCTTCCCAATTCGAAACTGTCATAAGCATTTAATGACTCTCTTATCATTGAGGTAATACCCAATCTGTTAGCAAAAATATTATCAGTCACGTCTGAATTTGTAAATAGTTCGGCAACCACATATAAATCCGGATTTATTTTCCTAGCACAGTCTAAAAGATACTAAAATAAAAAAAATAATGTTGATATAAAATGAAAATACTTTTTTACATGGGGGAAAAAAAAAAAAAAAAAAGAAAAAATTTACTTCAGCTACATGAAGAGGCGTAGAATGACAATTATCGAGTCGAATTCCATCAAATATTTCCGCAGTTTTTTCCACATATTTTTCCATGTGATTCCATAAAAAAGGACAATCTTGATAAGATTTTCCATATCTGAATGTATATGTATTTTATTGGGGTTTGTGTTGAATTATTAATATTAAAAATAGTAAGTAAGAGTGAGTACCTTAATTTAACGCTGTCTCCCCAAGCAATCAACTCCCTTCTTAAATAAACATTCGAATCAGACTCGGCAAAATTTTTAAGAGGATCTGAATTCATGACCCATCCATTATGTGCCATAACATATTGTCCATTTTTTAAAACTTCATTTTCTACAGAATCATAATTTTCAAATTTACCAGTAAAATATCTGGGCACAAGTGGATTTTCTTCAGATACTGATTTTATTTTTGGACCATCTTCCTGAATTCTAAAATATCTCATATTGGCAATGCAATTTTCTATAGCAGATGATAAATGAATTCCTATTTCATTTTTTATTTCGGAATTTAAATCGAGTATTCTCTTTTTAAAATCATTAACGTTTTCGGCTAATCTTGTTTCTTCGTCAGTAGTATCATTTCTACAACAATAACAAATTATTTTCCAAATATAAAAAATAAAAGAAAAATTTAGCATTTTCACTTTCGTGCTACCTAATTATATTAAAAATTTTAAGAGCAAGATCTAAATTAACTGTTGCTTTATTCCTTCCATTAAAATTGTTTATTAATTTTAATTCGGTTCTGCTACAGGTTTCTAACGTAGGTATTTGAGCCTTTGCTTTTTCTAAAAATTCATCTGACAATTTTGTCACATCGGCGGTATAAAATTCATGTAGACGAAGTTGTGGTATTAAATTTTTTGTTAAATAATTTTTCACAGCCTAAAATAAATTTTGTGTGATGTGTATTTGATGTGCGTACTTTGTGTGATGAAAAAACTTTAAAAAGTTTTCAAACCTCCAAGTGATCATGAGTATAAATTTCTGAAGGGATTCCAATCTCTTCATGTTTACCAGAGGAAATTTCTTTTGTCAAAACATGAAGATGACCATCTAAAATAGCTGCAGGAATTAAATATGGTGCTGTAATTGCATTGTAGGTACATTCTGGATGAACTTGTAACCAAGGAGTTTCATTTGCTGTATGATTGAGTACTACATCACTAATAGAGAGAATCTAAAATGCAAAATAAAATGTGTGTGTTTGTGTTAAATTAATAATTTTTTCACTAGTTTATATTTACCCTCCATTCTTTTCTCATTTCAGATGTTAATTTCATGACATCTTCATAATTTGGACAGCAGTTATCACTATTGAATGCAGGATTTAAATTTAATTGATCTTTTATGCAATATGACGAATTGGAGCCTCCAAGTTCCTGTTCCACAAAAATTATTACATATTTTTTAAACAAGACTAACAGTTTCAATTTTCACCAAGTACATTCAATATTTTTTAAAATACCTGAATTGGTGTAAAATGTACCATGTTGTATCCACTTTCCTTACTGACTTTAAGAACATTTTTCCAATTTTCAAATTTTCCAAGAGATTTTGCCAAAACCGTTTGAACTGCAATCGAATTGAGAGGTAAAATATCATTATTTGAAAATGCCAATATTGGATTAACTATGAAATATCCAGATCCTATAGTTTCATTTCTGTACACAAAAAAAAGCTAATTTTAATAATTTTGTTTTATTTAAATTGTAAATTATTCAATTATTGTTATTTTAAAAACCTCAAACTGTCGTTAAAATAATAATGAAAGGATCCTGCTCTGGATAAAAAGAGAGAAGATGTTAAAGCATTTTCTCTAGAAAAGTCATTTTTGCATTCATTTTTATGACTTTTGCCCCATTCTAATTCTTGATAATTATTCCTATTAAAGTCTGTGTCTGGTTTTGGATAATTGGTAAATAATTTAATTTCTTTTCCAAACAATGAAGATCCAATGTGAAATTCAAGAGTCCATCCTATTAAAAGTATAAATTACCATTTAAATATATTTATTTAATTATATTAATATTATTAATTAATTGAAATTAACCTTTTTCCAAATAATTAAGAGTAGAATCAAGATACTGTTGATTATTTAAAACAATTACTTTAGTCAGAAATTGATTTTCCTCCTTTTCTTTAGGGAAATTTCCAATAATGGGTAAAATTTTTGTTTCAACTGGATTCAAAAACTTTTCAGAAGACATCTCAAGTTTAAATATCTATATATATATATATGACTTTTTAAGGTTTTTTTGAGTTTAAATAAAAAAATAATTACTATGACAATAACTTTATAAAAAATATTTATTAAAAATAACACGAAATTTGACAGTAAACGTACAAAAAAAAAAAAAAAAAAAAAAAAATCTTAACGAAACCTTGCAAAATACTTATCGGTTAAAACAACCTAAAACTATTAACCACACAATAAAATAACCAAAACTTGATTAATTAAAATTATTTTTTTAATATCATTTTAGTAAACTTAAAATAAAAACTTTTAATATTTATTACTTTTTTTTTTACAATTAAAATATAAATATGTCAACAATATACTGATAAAACGACTAAATTTTAGTTTTTATTTTTAATAATTGTTTTAAAATAGGTCGTTAAAGTCGCTTGAAGGTCAGCTTGAGATTGCTTTACAAAAATTTGGCGGCAATTTTTTCAAGGCGGTTTTTGCAACGTTAAAACTTGATATTTTTCTTTTCATTAACTTCACGATTTTTTTCCTTATTATTTTAACCTTTTTATTATTTGATAAATTTTTTTTTTTTCAAATTTAAATTTATATTTTAATGTAAAATTTACATTCTAATAATTTTATTACTCCAAAAACGTAATAATTTTTTTATTTGTAAAATGTATGATATACGGTGTATATATAAAATTGATTGTTTAGTAATTTTATAACCTCAAACCTTCAATTCTAAAATACAATAAAATACTATTTAATACAAGTGAAAAAGGAAGTAGTAAAAGGAATTTAAAAAGAAAAACATAATTTCAATGTTTTAAAGTATTTATTATTATTTTTATTTCAGTCAAAAACTCTTGCAAACTGAATCAATTACATACTGTTAATTTTATCTTTTCGGAAAAAACTCTATTCCTTTTGTGCACATTTGAAATTTTGTCTTTTTTCAAATTTTTTAATTAGTTAATGCCATCGATAATTTCCTAATTAAAATTTTTTGGAATAGTGTGAAAATAATAAAAGTTAAAAACTTGTAAAAAAAAAAAAATCATTAAAATATGGTAATATTTTTAAAAAAAAACTAACTACCTAAACACAGCCATAATTTAAAGGTCCATGTTTCGAGTGCCTTATCAGACATTAAAAATTTTCATTACTCTTATCATAATCCAATTTTATATGATCTGCCGTTTGGATTATGAATGTGTAAAGGAACCGGTTTAGTAATTGTCCATTCGTACCACACATTGGTTTTACTAACAGCTCTCCAAAAATGTAATTCTATTTCGTTTCCTTTTTTCAATTGAACAGGTTCCTGAAATTTTTTACAATGTAAATAATCAGAAACTTAAAGTTTTTTTGTTTAATGTGATCATATAATCAATACTTACAGATATAGGGAAAAATATTGGAAACCAGCTGAACATTCCTTGAGAATATGTTTCAGGTACGATACTTAAAGATATATCCTTATATAAAATTGTTTCAAAACAACCTGAAAACCCGTGTAAAACGCAATCTTGTTCAACTTTAAAATTTAATATTTTATACCTAGTATTGTCTATGGGATCATCTGAAATGAATGAGTTTGTTAATATATTGTTAACAACGTAATGACGTAGTAATTAATTTAAAATAAAAGGTAAAAAAATTACCGTAATTAGGATGATGAAATGTGAAAAGGGCTTGATTTTTTGCTATTATGTATTTATTTTTTTGTAAAACAACATAAGGTGTTTCAAACTGTGCTAAAATATGAGAATCTTTTAATTTTATTAAACGAACTTCATTGTACAATTTAGATGTTTGAACTGGGCAAATGTATGATGTGTAGCTCTGGGGAATTGAAATTCCACCTTCTAAAATTAAAAATTAAAAAAAAAAAAAAAGAAATTGTTACCATTACAAGTGCATTAGATATTTATTTATTAAAATACTTTTTAAAAATTTTTGAGCCCCGTCTAAACATTCAGGAGATAATTCATTATCCCCAAAAGAACCGAGTAATTCGGATACTAAAATATCAGCCTTTTCTGGAGGATCAAATTTTCTCATATCTATTGATACGACCGTTACAGAATCTTTCCAAATTTCTTCTTTTTGTGCTTCTAGCCTAAGACGAAAAATTCCGTTTTTAAATTTGTTTAAGTTTTTTTTTTTTTAAAGTTAAATTAAATTTTTTTAAATGACTCACGTAACCACAGCATTTGGATTTTTTTCAATTGCATACACTTTGATTTTTCTATCCGCTCTGTGTGCAGCATTTAAAGCTGCTGTAACCAAAGGTCCTCTACCCGCCCCTACTACCATTACAGTCCTGTAAGGTAATATTAATTTTTTATAATAACTTGTTTACATTATAAACATTTTTATCAAACATATATTTAATGTACTCACAAAATTTTTGTTTCTTTTTCTTCCGAACTTATGTTATCTATCAAAGCATAATAAATAGCTCTCAAGTATTCATTGTACTTTACTGGATCCTTTTCAAACACCTCATATGTGTGAGACTCTAAATTATCCATGAGAGGCTGCAACGGACATTGAAGGCAGTCTTCATAACCTCTACCAAAGTAAGAGAGTGGATCATTTTGATATTGTACATCCTATAATTTATTTATATTTAATAAAAATTGTCATGATTATTGTAAATTAAATATTGAAACAAAACATAATTTTATAAAAAAAATATTTTCATATTACCAACCTGCCATAAATGATCTATGTATTTTTGATAAAACCCCAAATTATCATGTTTAGTATGGCCTTTTATTATAACCTGAACACTGAGTGGAACCAATGATTTAACAAAAGCTTGGTGAGCTTTTGATAATATTGGATAACCCTTTTTATTGGTTACAAATGTTGAAGTAGATAATAACAAACATTTTATGGGTTCACCCAACCACCTATCGCATTCTTCCTGAGATGGTAAATCGGTTGACATTTCCAAAACAATTCCAATTTTTTTCTCAAAACCTAATAATGATCTGAATTTATTCCACCTGAAATGAATATTTTCCACCTTTTACATGATTTTTTTTTCCTATTAAGTAGTTTGTAAAAAATTTAAATAATTTTTTTTTTTTCTTTCAAATTTTAAATGTTTATTTATTTTTACCATTCCCAAGTACACATTTCATCGACATTTTTTCCATTTTCTTCATAATCAGATCTCCATTGAGATGCACTAATTTTGAAACTGACCATTGGAACATGAATCCATACTTGATATTGAGTTATTTCTAAAACTTTACTATATAATATTCTTGCAAGATTAGATGTATTCAAACCTTTTAAGGATAGCATAATAGCAGGTACTCCAAGGTGATAAGCATAACCCAATTCTTGCTCCAAAGCATATTCTGATTGACGTCTAATGAATTCATTTGGGGAATCTACATCTATGTAAGGTGAAATTTTGGCTACAATAAATGAATTCCAATCTGCAATCAATCAATACATAAATTTTGATAAGTCAATACCTATATTACAAGTTGTAATTAAATAATTAATAATACTTTAATTTTAAAAAAAAAAATACCTCTACTTGGTAAAGTTAAATCTGGTCTTGTAAATGGTCCTGGGCGGTTTTTCCAAGAAGCAAAAAATTCTCTTTTAAATCTCGAATGAACTAATGGTAAGCACACAAATTCATATCTAAAATAATTTAATTACATCATATAATATCAAAATAAAAAAAGAAATTTTCAATTATTTTATATATTTGAAAAGTTTTAAAAGATTTGCATTTATGCAATGTATTTATTTTGAAAGTTAAAAGTTTAAGTTGATTTATACATAAAACAACATTAGGTTAATAATTAAACTTTGTTTTTACCTATTCATAGAAGCTGCCTTTAAAGCGCTTCTTATTTCTGGCACAGCACATAAATCAAGCCCACACGAAGCTCTTTGAACTTGTTGACTCATTTTGACTCATAAAATTATAAATGTTTTTCTAAATAATAAATTTTTACTAACACATGACTTTAACACTATAATATTTGTACCGCCACCAGGAAGCTGAAATAATCCACCGCCTGGTGGCAAAAAAATATTAAAGCGATAGTAGAAATAGTTATTTGACAGTACTAGACTTAACTGTCGCAGATATGGTTGATTTAAGAGGAAAGTTTAAATGATATTTTAAATAGTAATTTATTATTTATCAGTAAAAAAAAAAAAAATAATTTATTAGAATACTATGAGTTTTACATTTACAATAGAACTGTTACATTGAAATTTTTTACTATATTACCGGAAAACTTTTTAATAATTCGACAATCAACATGAAGTTATGTATCATAACTTTGATTTTTACTTCTATTTTTGTTTATTGTGGCTGTGATGGAGAACCAAAATGCGGATGCAAAAAAGCGAATCGTAATGCTGAACTTTCAAGGTATGAAAAAGTTAATTTCAAAGATGATGCTATTTTTGAAGAACAAGAAATAAGTAAAGAGCCAAGTGATGAATACTGCACTAAAACTGAAGATTTCAACTCTTTACCTCGAACAAATCAAATGGTTTATTTAAAAGGAGGAAAATTTGAAATGGGAACTGATAAGCCTATATTTGTGGCTGATGGTGAGGGGCCTAAACGTTCAGTTTTAATTAAACCCTTTTATCTTGACAAATATGAAGTGTCGAATGCTGAATTTAGTAAATTTGTTAGTGATACTGGATATAAAACTGAAGTTGAAGGATTTGGAGATTCATTTGTGTTTGAAAACCTTTTAAGTGATGCTGTAAAAGATACCGTTACTCAAGCCGTAGCCAGAGCTCCATGGTGGTTACCAGTGAAAGGAGCAAATTGGATGCATCCAGAAGGCCCTGATTCAAGTATTTCAGGTATTATTAGCAAAAACATATCAATATATAAATAATAATTATTATTTTAATTATTCATTTAATTTTTTTTTTTTCAGAAAAAATGGATCATCCTGTTGTACATGTATCATGGAATGATGCTAAAGCATATTGTGATTGGGCTCAAAAAAGATTACCCACTGAAGCAGAATGGGAGTATGCTTGCAGAGCAGGAAAAAAAGACAGATTATTTCCTTGGGGAAATAATTTTCAACCAAAGGGTGAATACAGGTAAGTACAAATTATATCATTATAATTATTTGCATTATGTAAAGGTATATTAACATTATATTGTAGGGCAAATATTTGGCAAGGTGCTTTTCCTAGTCATGACGAAGGACTTGATGGTTATGTTGGTACAAGTCCTGTAACAGCTTTTCACGAAAATGATTTTGGTCTTAAAAACATGATTGGAAATGTTTGGGAGTGGACATCAGATTTTTGGGATATTAAGCACAATAAGGAACCTGTTGAAAATCCAGTGAGTTATTAAAATTAAACATAGGTCTTTGGTTATTATTTTTAAATTATGTTAATATTCTCAAAAGCACCTGTTTTTATTTTAGACTGGCCCAACTAAAGGAACTGACAAAGTAAAAAAAGGAGGTTCTTTTCTATGTCATAAGAGCTATTGTTATAGGTACAGATGTGCTGCTAGAAGTCAAAATACTCCAGATAGCTCTGCCAGTAATTTAGGTTTTAGGTGTGCTGCAGATAAACTTCCTGACTATTTAATTGATGAATGATAAATATTTTAAAATTGCAGATTGCATTTTTAAAATGCTGTTTTTTTTTAAGTAAAATTGATCATTCCAACATATTTCTTTCTTGTTAATTCCTTTATATTATATTTTTTTATATTATATTTTTATCTAATTTTAAATTATTATTTAAAATTGTTAAATTGTACAATTTTAATGTATTACCACGTATTGAGTGCTCAAATTATGTAAATTATGCATTGTCAAATATTTATAAAGAATTATATTTAAATATTTTTACATAAATTTTTTTTTAAATTTCATTTTTTTAAAGTAAAATTTTAAAATTTTTTCGTGTTCTAAATAATTAACACAAAATATTTAAGCTAAATATGTTATACAAAATATAAAATTTTGCATAAATTAAAAATAAATGTTAAAATGAATTTTATTTAATATGTAAATGAAAAAATCAAGGGAAGAAACAAATTATTTTATTTTTTGTAACGATTCATTATTAATAAAATTGCTTTTTAAGATTTTAAATTTAAAAAAAAGAAAAAAGCTAAATAAAAAAATGTAGATTACCTATTAAGCACAGTTTTTCTAAATGGCCTGATAAAATAATATTTCATAGTTGAATATCACAAAGGAAATTTCCTTTGAAAGCAGACAGTGATATTAAAGTAATAACCTCTTAAAATAAAATATAAAAAAAAAAAAAAAAAAAAAAAAAAAAAACAAGGTCGGAAAATGCAATCAAAAGTTTTAAGTAATGTTTGGCCTGTTCTACGGGTAAATATTTAAAACAATTTTTTTTTTTAAAATCAAGAATCGAACGAAAATAATGATACGAAAGCCCCATTGTGCACCAACTGGTAAAATTTGTCATTGGTCGCTTAACGAAAATTAGACCATAAAAAATGTTAATTATTTGATAATAAATAACGTTAATGTAATTTTAGCCAAAAATTTTTCAACCGAGTTCTCCACAACTATGGACATTAGGAAAAAGACTTTATTCAAACGGAGATGAGGCTGATTTGGTGGTTATTGGTGCTGGGCCTGGAGGGTATGTTGCAGCTATTAAAGCAGCACAATTAGGGATGAAAGTAAATAAAATTATAATTACATTATTATTTGTTTTTGAATAATAAATATTAAAATTTTAAAAAAAAAAATTATCTTACATATATATATTTATTTTAATTTCAGACTGTTTGCGTAGAGAAAAATGATACTTTGGGTGGAACTTGCCTAAATGTCGGATGTATTCCATCAAAAGCTTTACTAAACAATTCTCATTATTATCACATGGCTCATTCTGGAGAGTTGGGAAAACGAGGAGTCGTTATTAGTATGTAGTAATTTATCATTTAAAAACAAATAGTAATTAATTATTTTTTTATTTTTAAATTATTCTTTCAATATTTATTTGTTTTCATTTGTATCCATAATTTAAAAAAAAATATAAAATTTCAATTCTCCCAATGATAAATTTTATTAATAATTTGTTTTTTTTTTTTTTTTTTTTACAATTTTTCAGCTTAAACTTTATTATACAGGGAAAATATTATTTCTTACAAAAATATTTTAATTTTAGATGGAGATGTTTCTTTAAATCTAGATGTACTAATGGGTACAAAAAGTGATGCAGTAAAAGCTTTAACTGGAGGAATAAAAATGTTATTTAAAAACAATAAGGTAATGTATATATATTATTTATGTGAAATTACTTAATGTATTTAGCTGGGAGTCAACATTAAACTTTAAAAAGTTGCATAAGAGTTTATGTAACACATTAAAATTGTTTTTTTTTTTTTTTTTACTGTTTACTACTTTTAGGTGTCTCATATTCAAGGTCATGCAAAAATCACGGGAGCAAATGAAGTGACTGCATTAAAAAAAGATGGATCGCAAGAAGTTGTTAAAACGAAAAATATTCTCATAGCTACAGGTTCAGAGGTATGTTTTCTATTCTATTCTATTTATCTGTGTGTTCTTATTTAGGTTAAAACCATTAATTTAAATTTTATGTTTTTTTATTCTTTTCCCTAATTGGTTATTATTAATTTTTTAAAATAAAAATAATTCAATTTTGATAATTATTTAGGTGACTCCTTTTCCTGGAATCGAAATCGATGAAGAGACAATTGTTAGTTCGACTGGAGCTTTGTCATTGAAACAAGTTCCCCAAAAGTTAGTCGTGATTGGAGCAGGTGTCATTGGATTAGAATTGGTAATTAATTTTTTCAACGAGTACATGTTACCAAAGATAAAAAAAAAAAAAAAAAAATACTCGAGTATCATTTTTCTAAAAATAAATTCTATTAAATTTTTTTAGGGATCCGTTTGGTCGAGGTTGGGTGCAGAAGTAACAGCTGTTGAATTTTTAAATTCAATCGGAGGAGTTGGCATAGATGGAGAAGTTGCTAAATCTTTTCAAAAAATACTAACAAAACAAGGTCTCAAATTTAAATTGGGTACTAAAGTTACCGGAGCCACTAAATCAGGGAGTGGTATAACCGTATCCGTTGAAAATGTTAAAGATTCGTCTAAGAAAGAAGAGGTTAATAATTATTCAACAAAAAATTTTTTTTTATAATTTAACAGTAGCCATTTTTCTTATAAAAGTAATATATTTATTTCCCAGCTCGATTGCGATGTTTTATTAGTTTGCGTCGGAAGGAGACCATATACAGTCAATTTAGGTCTTGAAGAAATGGGAATTGAAAAAGATGAAAAAGGAAGAATACCTGTTAATTCTAGGTTTCAAACCGTTATACCTAAGTAAGTACTTGGTTAAATGATTGTTTTTTTTTTTTTTAGACTAACATTTATTTTAAAATGAGTTATTATTACAGCATATTCGCCATTGGAGATTGTATACACGGACCAATGTTGGCCCACAAAGCTGAAGATGAGGGAATTGTTTGCGTGGAAGGAATCGCCGGTAATTTTTCTAATTCGTTTTAGAAAAAAATCCAACAGACTTTATAAATTTTTTTTTTTTTTTTTTATTTACATTTTCTTATTGCTTTTCTCTTTATAGGTGGTGCAGTTCACATAGACTACAATTGTGTTCCGAGTGTGATTTATACTCATCCCGAAGTTGGATGGGTTGGAAAATCCGAAGAAGATCTTAAAAAAGACGTGAGTTTTTTTTTTTTTTTTGATTCTCCTTCGTCGTTGATTATTTCTTTAATTTAAAAAAAAGATTTTTTTTATTTTTTATTTTAGAGTGTAGAATATAATATTGGAAAATTTCCATTCGCTGCAAATTCACGAGCAAAAACAAATAACGACACGGAAGGTTTTGTTAAAGTTTTAGCGGATAAAAGAACGGATAAAGTTTTAGGAGTTCACATTATTGGTCCCGTTAGTAAATTTATGTTTTTTGCCACATTTAAACTTTCTCTAAAAAATTCCAATGTCGGTTTATTTAATTGTGTTGTATTTTTCCAGGGTGCTGGAGAAATGATAAACGAATCCGTTTTAGCTATGGAATATGGAGCTTCTTCGGAGGATGTCGCTCGAGTTTGTCACGCACATCCGGTAAGTAAATTTTTATCTTTTTTTTTATTTTTTTTTTTTATTAAATCTCCACAAAGTTTATTAACAATTAATAAAAAAAAAAAACGTAAAATTTATTTTTCACAAAGACGTGTTCGGAAGCCTTGAGAGAAGCACATTTAGCCGCATATTTTGGAAAAGCTATCAATTTTTCATAAAAATCGACGTTTTACGAAAAATAGATAAATAGGATTATTATTATTATTATTATTATTATTAATAAAAGGTTCACTCTGAGTACTAAGGTATGTCAATTCTTGATTTTTTTTTTTTTCCAAATAAAATTAACGACTTTATGGTAATAAAAAATCAATTATTGAATTAATAGTTATTTTTGTTTTTCTAGATTGAGTGTAGGAAACAATGAATGAAATCATAAAAGATATTTTATTTCGAATGGGATATTTTAAATAGAAAAAAAGAAAACGTTTTTTTATTATTGTTTATTTTTTTTTTTTATTTATATTTATTTAATTTTTTATGCGAAATTTTTTTTTTTTTTTTATTTTGAGAAAACAAACAAACAAAACAAAAAATTGAGTACTTTTGATTAAGCATCCCCGTGCAAATCAAAAAAAAAAAAAAAAAGATATAATAATAATACATTTAGATATTCTCTTGTTGTTCAGTACATTCGACATTTATTATTATTATTATTATTATTATCATTATTATTTAGCATAAAAAATAATTTAAAAAATTTTATTTATATAATAAACAGTGAGGGTATTGTAAATATAGATTTACTTTATGAATAAATTCATTTTTTTTTTTTTTTAATTGTAAATTATCCTTTAAACTTAATTAATTATTGACGACATTATTAATTTTATTAGTTTACATTTTTCTTAAATTTAAAAATAATAATAATAATGATAAGAAAAATTTTTCAAATTATTAAAAAAAGGCGGGAAAAAAAATGGATAAGTAGCATCGTCACTTCCGGTGATTAAAACTTTCCATTTAGTAATGACTTTTGTATTATGTTTATAATACGGTAGTTAAGTTGTATGGACAAGTTATCAGTTAAGCGTTGCTTGTTGAGACGTTGTGTTTGTGTGTTTAAATTTTTTTTTTTTTTAAATAGAATTCAATTTTTTATTAGTTTAATTAACTACTTGACTGTAAGTGTTTAAAGTGTTTTTTTTTAAAAATGGCTTTAAGAGATCCAGCAACGGAACAATTAAGTAATTATAAAAAAAATCATCCAAAACCTGAAGTTTTAGTTACGGGTCATGGAGCTCCCATTGATGATAAATTGAATAGTTTAAGCATAGGACCTCGCGGGCCTTTACTTCTTCAAGATGTAACTTATATTGATGAAATAGCTCATTTTGATAGAGAAAGAATTCCCGAACGTGTCGTTCATGCTAAAGGAGCTGGTGCTTTTGGATATTTTGAAGTGACCCATGATATTCGAAAATATTGTAGGGCTAGTGTTTTTTCAGAAATTGGTAAAAAAACTCCCGTTGCCGTTAGATTTTCTACTGTTGGAGGTGAAAGTGGATCTGCCGACACGGTTAGAGATCCTAGAGGATTCGCTGTTAAATTTTATACAGATGAAGGAAATTGGGATTTAGTCGGGAATAACACTCCAATTTTTTTTATAAGAGATCCATTGCTTTTTCCAAGTTTTATTCACACTCAAAAAAGAAATCCTGCTACTCATTTAAAAGATCCCGATATGTTTTGGGATTTTATTACTCTCAGACCTGAAACAACGCATCAGGTAATGATATTATTTTCTGATAGAGGAATACCTGATGGTTACAGACACATGAACGGTTATGGCTCTCATACTTTTAAATTGGTCAATGATAAATACGAAGCTGTGTATTGTAAATTTCATTTAAAAACGGATCAAGGTATCAAAAATTGTCTTCCATCGAAAGCTAATCAATTATCAGCGGATGATCCAGATTATGCTATCAGAGATTTATACAATGCTATTGAAAATGGTCAATATCCATCGTGGAGTTTTTACATACAAGTGATGACATTCGAACAAGCAGAAAGATTTAAATACAATCCATTTGATCTAACTAAAATTTGGCCACATTCTGAATATCCTCTCATTCCAGTAGGAAAATTAGTACTTAATCGTAATCCTAAAAATTATTTTGCTGAAGTCGAACAAATTGCATTTAGTCCTTCGCACCTTGTACCTGGAATAGAACCAAGTCCTGATAAAATGTTGCAAGGAAGATTGTTTTCATATGCTGACACTCACAGACATAGACTTGGAGCAAATTATTTACAATTACCCGTCAATTGCCCCTACAGAACAACCGTTGCCAATTATCAAAGAGATGGACCTCAGAACTATGGTAACAATCAAGATGGAGCTCCAAATTATTTTCCTAACAGTTTCAATGGACCTATGGATGATAAAAAGCAAGTTCAACATGTATTCAAAGCCACTGGTGATGTTGCAAGATATAATTCTTCAAATGAAGATAATTTTTCACAAGCAAATGATTTATGGAGCAAAGTTTTGAATGATGAAGAAAGAGAAAGGCTTGTTTCAAATATTGCTGACCATCTTAAAAGTGCATCTGGTTTCATTCAAGACAGAGCTATTAAAAACTTTTCATCTGTTAATGCTGCCATGGGACGTAAATTATCAGACAAACTTAATGAAAAAAATATTATTAATAAAAATATCGATTCAAAATATTAAATATAAAAATTTTTTGAAAAATTGTTTACACCTTATGTAAAGGATTTTGTACTTTTTAAATATTTATTAAGTAGATCATTTTAAATAAATTTGCTCCATGCTCAATGTTTTCGTAACAAAATATTTTGTTAAAGTTTTTTTTATTAAGTTTATTTTATTAAAATGGTTTTGGGGTATTTAAAATTAATAATGGTTTATGTTTTAAATTTATTTATTTTATTTTACTTAATCGTACATGCATTAATATTTACATGAAAATGATTATCATTATGTAAAAGAAAAGATTATTTTGTAAGTTTTATTAATAGTTAATATATTTATACATATATATTATTTTTTAATTACTTTGCATTGAAATAATATCCAATTTCTTGTATAACATTGAAGGAAACCTATAATACCTCCTCCCCCACTACTGGAAATTTTATAAATTGAGTTCATTAATAAATAAAATATTTTATTATAAAGGTCATTTAATATATTGACAACTCGATACTTTTACTTGTACAAAGGTAACCTCTAATAAATGTTGTACTAACATATATCATTTCAAATCGAAACTTGAAATAAATATTTAACTTGAGGCCTAAATTGTGATAAGGTTAAAACTTTTTGCTCTTTGATCTTATTTTAATATAAAAAAAAATTTATTTTTAAACATATTTTTATCACCAATTGTAAAAACCTGTAATTAATATAAATTAGGTTCCAGAGGTATGACATGAAGAAAAGAAAACCTAAAAAATTTGTTTTGTTATAATTTAAAAGTCATGTGGAAAGTTTTTAAAACAACAGTTAACACCATTTTTTTTTTTTATGTCGAATAATTATTAAATCATTTTCAAAGTTTTGTTGTTTGTTCCTTTTTAAACTATATTTTTGGATGAATAATAAAAAACAAGTTTTATGCCTTTGGGCTATGGAAAGTATATATATAAAGTACATAACTTTGACCTTATTTATGTTTAATTTTTTATTTAGGTTAGTAAAAGTAAAAAAAAACCTTCACATGACATTTACAGCCAAATGTATTAAAAATTTTATGTTTTTTTTTTTTTTTTTCAAAACAAATAAAAATAAATATTATTATGGTTTACATAAAACAATTTCATAATATTTTAATAAATAAATATAATTTAAATTAATAATTAATTATTATTTAATGAATAAAAGAAAAATAATTAATTTTGAATTAATAGAATGCATTTATTTTATCAGAAAAATGATTTTTATCTGGAAATTTTGACAAAAATAATTAATTAACTATTATTATTATTATTATTATCATTATTATTATTATTCTTAATTGAATTATTAATATTAACAATTAATTAAATAATTATTTAAAATTTCTTATTTTAATCAGATTTTAATCAAATCATAGGGGAAGAATCCATGAGAGTTAAATAAGTTTTATTGTTTTTATATTTAAAAAAATCATAATAATAATAACCTTGTTGGTTTTATTTATTTATTTATTTAATATTATTATCGTCCTTAATATTTTTAAAACAATTAAATTCATCTAAACAACAAACCTTAAATCAAAATTTTTTTTTTTTTTTGTAAAAGAAAAGATGAAAGATTGAAATGGGAAAATAAATTGTTGTTGCACTTTTGAACCGAACCTTGAATTTTTAATAACATTAAAATAAATTAATAATAATTTTATTTTAAGACTATTTATTATATAATTTACATAACGGAAAACAAAAAAAAATTTATTTACATTGGAAACCTTTTTCTATAACTTATTTTAATAAAATAACCCGTAAATTTCGTGGAAAATTGAAAAAAATTTGTGTATGACTGTATGTAAGAAAATATTATTATGAACAATTTTTAAACCTAAATTTTTTTTTGTTATTCTGTCAGAGGTTGAATAATTTATGATTTATTAATTACATAATTATACCTTGAAATAAATAAAATAATAATAATAATTACATTGTTTATTTATTTATTTTTTGCAATGTTATGAAAATTATATGAAATTTAATAATAAACCTTGAATCATCATTAACAGTTGGAATTTGAAAAAAAAAGGTTATGCAATTTGTTAAACAGTTCAGTATTGCAGGTTGCATATTTTGTTTAAAAAAATTTTTTTTTTTTGAAATAAGTTTGTGATTATTTTAAAAAAAATAAATAATACATTTAATTTTCTCTTTTTTTCGTAAATTTAAATTAAATTTATTTAATTAATAACAATAATAATTAATTAAAAAAACAATTTTTAATTATTTAAGTGATTTGTTTTGTTTGTTTATTACCAAAAAAAAAAAAAGGAAAAGTTTTTATTTTGACTAGAGTAGTTGTTTATTCAAAATGATTTTTTCGTGTAAAAGATTATTAAAAAGATTTACTTGATAAAACAATTGAAAGTATTAATATTTTTTAATTTATTAATAATAAAATGAAAGGTGATATTTGTAAGTAAAAAAATTTAATAAAATTATTGATATTTTTTGAATTTAGCGCCGAAAATGAATTGAGTGAAACCGTCGTAAGTTAACGAGTGTATTCAAAATGGCGATCAATCGCAATACATTGGTCTGCGCGTCGTGGTTTTTTAATAAATTCTCATAAATGATTTTGTATTAATAATATTTGTGTGAATTTTTTAATTTATTATAAGTTCAATTATCATGTCAGCTCCGGAAAAAGTTAAAAAATATGGCGTTGGTGAGTAAAAAACACGTTTATTTTTCGTCAGAACGTTTTGATGAAATCTACTGTTATTGACTTTGAAAATTTCAAATGAAATTTTTATTTGTAATAAAGAAAATAAAAAAAAAAAAAAGGTAAAAAAGAAAACCGGTTATCAATTTATAACAGGTAAAAAAATGATAAAGAGAAAAACGTTTTAAAAATAATTTTATTGTCATTTATTTAATTACCATAATTTTATATGAATTAAAATTTAAAAAAAAAAAAAATTTTAAGTCATGCCTTACATTTTATTTTTTATTTTTTCGCACTTAATTAGTAGATTTCAACGAATGGGAAACCAAGTCCCTTTGGCGCAGAGGATAGCGCGTTGGACTTCTAATCCAAAGGTCGTGGGTTCGATCCCCACAAGGGATGATATTTATTTTATTTTTTCCCCCATTTAAAATCTTAAAAAATTATTTTATTTTTTTTTCCTCTCTACCTACGAGACGAATTATAATTATGCGTGTTACGCATTTTTAATAATATATTTTTATTATTATTATCGACCCCCAAACTTTTCTTTTCGGTATAAATTATTAATATATATTTTTATTTTTTTTTTTTACCCACGTAATAATTATCATTAACATCTTACGCGAAAAAAGGAATTTTAAATATTTCATTCAAATTTCATTCATAGAATTGAATAGAATATTCTAAAAAGAATAAGGGTTTTCCCTCGGAATGATAAATGATTACATTTAATAACATTATAAAATAATAATAATAATAATATCTTTTCGCCACGAATATATTTATTAAATAAAATATAAATTTATTATTTTGTTTTTCTTATTATTACAAGGTTATTTAAAAAAAAAAAAAAAAAAATTTACCAAACGAAATAATCAAAATGAATACATAAATTTACGTTAATATAAAAATGATAATAATAATAATTTGTTTTAATATAAAAAAAAAAAAAAAAAAACATGAAAGGAAGTTTATTATTAGTATAAGACGAAACAAAAGAATGAAAGGATATCGAATTTTATGTATTATTTTCGATAGTGACAAAACTTGAATAATGATGTCAATAAACGTTATGTACGTTAATTGTTTATGTATGATAGTTTAATAAAAAAATTTAATAATCGTAGAATAACAATGGAGTATAAAATAAGAAATTTATTTATTTATTTATTCATTCATTGAGTTAACACGAATTTTTTTTTTTTTTTTTTTTATGGAAACACCAAGAAAACTTCCGACACTCTCATTAAAAATAATTATTATATGAATTGTTTGTTAACTTGTCTTGCATGCATTAATTATTATTATTATTATTATTATTATTATTATTATTATTATTATTATTATTATTATTATTGTTAATTAATGTAAACTAGGACGTTTTTATCATTCTTATTATTATTATTATTTATTTCATCCCGGTAAGAAAAAAAAAAAATTTTCCATGTGATAAAATAATAATAATAGAAAATGCCGACTGTCAAATTGATTTATAATAATAATAATAATAAAAGTTTATTTTATTTATTTATTTATTTATTAATTATTTAAATGATGGTAAAATAAAAAAAAATAAATAAATAAAAAATTTCAATTTGAGTTTTTGTTTTCTCTTTATACAAAGGATGTTGTCACTTAATATTCAACACATATTTAACCGGCCATCAAAAAAAAAAAAAAAAAAAAAAAAATTTAATTTTTGTTATAATGGCGACAATAATACTTCTCTCTCTCTCTCTCTCTCTCTCTCTCTCGCGCGCTCTCTCGCTCTTCTTTCGTTTTAAATAAATAAATAATTAATAAATTTTCTTTTTTCTTTTTCCAGTCATATACAGTTGGGAGGGAAATTTTCCATTGGCGTTGTCTCTGGAAATCGGTGAAACCGTACAAATCATCGGTGAATACATGGGTAATTATCATATCATTATTATTATTTCCATAACTTCCCCCCACCCCACCCCCGTACTTTTCGATCCACAATGGAAAATTAAAAAATTAAAGTACGTGAGAATGTATTTTACAAAAACGAAATACATGAAATTCCCAAAAGTACTACTACTACTATTCAAATCGTTATTATTATTATTATTATTTCCAGGATGGTACAAAGGTTTCTATCCGAAATATCGAGTCGTTAAAGGTATATTTCCAAGCACTTACGTACATTTGAAACCGTGTAAAATTGAAAAAAAAGGTTTGTCAGAATCTGTCATACCCGTTGAAGATCCGATACTACGAGAAGTCACGCAAGTACTTCGCGAATGGGGAAACATATTGAAACAACTTTACGTGGTAAATTTTTTATTTTGATAATTTAATAAAATAATAATAATAATAATAATAATAATAAATATATTGATATATATTATATATTTCAGATGAGAGAACATTATACGTTTAAAGCCGTTATAAAAATAATGAGAGAATTATTAGAATGGAGACGCCAATTATTGACTGGAACATTAACTCAAGATCAAACGAGAGAATTAAAATTAAAAATTGCTAATAAAATTGATGGTGGAAATAGGTGAGTGTCGTTTGTTTGTTTGTTTGTTTGTTTGTTTTCTATCTCTCCTTCTTTCTATTTCTTTCTGCTCTGTTTTATTAAAAGAAAGAAAGAGATAAAAGAAAAATCAATAACGAAATGGAAGATTATATATATATATATATATAATAAATTGAAGGGTTCTTTTACGTTCGTAAGGGTTGTTGTCGTTGTTCTCGTTCTCGTTGTGGTTGTCGTGGTTGTTGTGGTTGTTGAGGGTTTTGTGGGGGATTGAATTTTGGTTGAGCGAAATCGAAGAAAATTGATGAATTTATCATTAATTAATCATAATAATAATAATAATAATAATTTATAAATTTAATTTGAAAAAAAAAAAAAAGTAAAAAACCATTATTATTTAATTTATTATAAAATTTATTTACTAATAACATATTATTATTATTATTATTATTATTATTATTATTATTATTATTATTATTATCCCATAATAAAATGTGAAATTAAAAAAAAAAGAATATATTTATCACAATTACTTATGAAATAAAAATTTTTTTTTTTTTTTTTCGATACATAAAGAAAAAGGAAAGAAAAATTTTTTTATTATCATTATTAATACTTTAAAACGTAACAAAATATTGGCAATTAGTATCAATTACCAGTCTTAATTAACGTACAAAAAAAAAAAAAAAACCGTTGTCATTTTCTCGGTAAAAACTATAAAGTATTATTATTATTATTATTATTATTATTACTATTGTTATTATTTATTACGTAATAACGTGATAATAATAATAATAATATTATAATATTATAATAATTTTTTTCTTTTTTTTTTCTTTTTGTTGGAAGACTATGAAATTTTACATTAAAAAAAAAAAAATCTTTAAAATTATTATTATTATTATTATTATTATTATTATTATTATTAATATTATTATTATTATTATTATTATTATTATTATTATTATTATTATTATTATTTCGACAATTTGAAAAGGTTGTTCAATCGACATGAATGTTTTATTTATTATTTTAATACTTTTATATGTAATACGTATATGTAATAATTTTTTTTTTTTTTTTTTTTTTAAATTTAAAATAATAAAAATTTGCCGACAATTGATTTCGGCTGCTGCTGCTGCCGCTGCTACTGCTACGGCTGCTGCAGCATCATCAAATCTTTTTTTAAGACAATATTATAAAAACTAAGAAGAAAACTTTATACATAAATTTTTATATAGAAAGACGTTTTTTTTTTTTTTTTTGATAAATGTTAATAATAATGTTATCACCATCACGTGTGATAACGGGAGAAATTTGATAATGGGCAAGAATAATGATTAAATTAAAAATAAAAAAAAAATTTGAGGAGCACATTTGAGCGCGAAAATTGCTGTCGGAGCCAAAAAAGGAAAAAAAGTAAAAAAAACGTTTTTGCTGTCGTCGTCTTATTAAGTCTCCGTTTCTTTTCCGTATTGAACTTTTTCACCAGGTAATTTTTCACTTGGATATATGGGGCTCAATTCTAGAGAGCTTGGAGCCGATGGTAAATTATTACCAATGTGAAGACGTCTACTGAGTTCGTCTAAAATTTCACCGAAAACGAGGAGATCCATATTTTGACCGAGCAAATGAAGGAATAGAAAATCTCCGACCTGAAAATTAGAAAAAGTAGAAACGAATCGTGATTAATGAAATCATTTGAAACGATTTACAACGCACGCACGCACGCACGCACGCACGCACGCACGCACACGCACACACAGAGAACAAAAAATTTGCTTACCTGAGTTTTTCTAATGAGGCTAGGTACGCCGGTCGGTGACCCGAATCTAAATCTGTGTTTAAGCACAATTTCCCTCACGCTGGGCAACACGATGAGCATAGAACTGTAAAGCAATGCGAGACCGCTCAATGCCGATAATATAATCAGCCAAAACCATAAAAATATGAATATTTTTTCATTAAGGATATTTAATGCTAATATGCAAAGTGCGTCGTGAGTCTGTATCGAACCCGATGGACCGAATTTGTGAAAAGTGCATTTCGTCACACGTGGAAAAACTGCAATCATCGGATCCGTTCTGTTTTCCTGATTCATTCCGGAAAATTTAATGACTTCCGTTCCGTATTTGAGAAAAGCTCCGTTTAAAAACGTGTCGAGGAAAAATATATTACCCACCTGTAAGACAAATGATTATTATGATCGCAACGAATTTCACCTTCGGGAAAATTAATTAATAATAATAATAATAATAATAATAATAATAATAATAATTTGAATGCATTGTTTCATATTCGAAACGTGATTTTCATGCTAATACAAAAATTTATTCATCATCATTTCAACGTCTAGACGATTTCATTTTGCAAATTATGGATGGTGTATTAATAAAGAAAATGGAAAGGGATACAGGGAAGCTAAATAATAATAATAATAATAATAATAAAGAAACGTTAAAAAAACTTACGACGTTAATAAAATTTAATATTTCGCAGAAAAAATAACCTGCCGCGTATAAATTGTGCATGTGTAAAGTGTTAACGAAATATTCTACGAGACGATTCTGTTTGTTGATTCTCATTTGTTTGGTTCCAATGGCGGCACCACGGATTCCATCAGTCACCATTCGAACTTTACCTTCTTCCCAATTTTTCCATACCCAATGTGGAATGTAAAAAAGAACTCCCTGATGAGTGAGGTGTGTGTGCGTGTGTGCGCGGGCAAGAATTAAAAAAAAAAACAACATATGAATAAAATAAATTTTTAACGATTTTTTTCTCTCGAATCGTTTCTCTCTTTCTCACCTGGAAAAATAACATGAAAGGTACCCACTGATAGTAACTGTGATACCTTTCGGATTCTTCTTGATCGGCTATTTGATTCCCTATACCCGGATGAGCAACTTCTCGTCCCTGAAGTTTGTTCATTTGATACGGAAGAGTGAACGTGTACGTGATCCAACAGTATGTGTTTATCACGTGATCGGGTACGGCTCCATCGTTTATACAATTAATCGGATCACCTACGAATACGTATGAAAAATATAAAGTTTTATATTTTACCTTGAGGAAAATGGGAAAAAAGAAAATTAAGGAAACTCACCGATTAAATTATTCGCCGTTAATATAATGCATGAAGCAAATAATAAAGCTGATGTTATACGATAGTGAAACCTGAATATCATATTGTCTATAATGGCTTTATCGACCAGGTACCGGACTTTAACGAAACCGGCAACTGATGAAACGAGGCCGAAAACAGCCATTTTCTGTAATAAAAAAAAAAAAAAAATAATAATAATTTGAAAAATTTAAATTTTATTGTTCAAGAGTTAAACTGTATAAAAATAAAACAAAATAAATTTTTTTTTTCGTTGTTGTTGTTTGTACGCCGCCCACGCATTTAGTTATATACCTTGGCCTCGTTTATCTATACTGTTCAGTAGATAAAAAAAACCAACACATATTTTATTATCTTCTGGTTAATAAATAGCGGGTGATTTTAACTCGTCTGTTAAGTAATAATAATATTATTATTATCAGGTACAAAATTTCCTTTCGAACGGAACGATTTAAAATGATTATTTGTTGCCTAAAAATCAAAAATGGCGGCGTTCAGGTTATTGGCATGCCAATTGATTCGGTACAAGTATTTGCATTTTTTTTTTTTTTTTATAATCGAAATGTAAACCTAATGTGGTTCTAAAAGAGAAAAGAAAATCCCTTCGGGTGTTTTTCATGCATATGGATGTGACCTTATTTGTTATTAAAAAAAAAAAAGAAAGAAAGGGAGATTCGTTTCGAGTACTCTCAAGATGGATGTTGATGGATTTATGGCAACCGTTAAAAATGATTTCATTATTATTATTATCGTAATGTAATCGTGGGAAAACTGGCATCGAGTCTCTCTACTGGGATTTTCAATTTTACCAAAAAAAAAAAAAAGATTTTACGAAATAACACAAAAGAAAAGGTTTTTGGCTTTGTTTCTAACCTTCGCGTGAAAAACCTTTAGCGAATCAGAAGACAAAATAAAAAATGGAAAACTTGATTGAAAATTTCAAATTAAAATGCATTCACTAAAACTGAAAGAAAATTGAGAGAAAGAAAAGAAAAAGAAGAAAAATTCAAATTGAGAAGTTTATTTCAAGGGAAAAGCCTGGAAAAGCCTTTTGGGCAAAGGTAAAGACTTTCCTTTTTAATTCCCGAGGAATTAGGTTAATTCCTGAAAATGATTAATTCCGACTGAAACGTGTAAAAAATTATATAAAAGAAATAATAATGATAATAAAAAAATCACCTCGAGGGATTTTAATGTTACAAAAGATCACTTGATTTTTCATAATACAATAAAAAATGGCGGATTTATAAATTTTAAAACGACCGTAAATTCGTCGATTTGCACACGAATATTTAATTAATTAATTAATTTTTTTTTTAACAAAAAAGGAAAAAAGGAAAAAATGGAATTCCAAAATCTTTTTGTTTTTAAAATTTCTTACGAATTACGTTTGCGAACGGAAAAAAAAAAATAAAATTTTTATTACTAATAATTATAATCATTCAAGGTAATGAACGTAATAAAAGGAAAATATTTTACGTTTAATTATTATCATTATTATTATTATTTAAATTGCGCAATCAAACATTGTTGTTTCGTTTGAGATTTTTATTATTATTATTATTATTATCGAAACGGAATTCCATTGAGAAAAAAAATAAAATAACAATGATGGAGAAAATCGACAATCGTTTTTGGTCGGCCATATTTGTTTTTATATTTTCCTTACGGTGATCGTCATATCGATGTATGAAAACGTTTTTTTAACTTCAACTTAAATTTAAATTTAAATGCGAATTATTTATCGTTATTATTATTATTATTATTGTTTGATACGAGCACAATCGTGTTTTTGAACAATTTGGCAATCGATTTATTGATTTATTAATTTTTTTTTCGAATTTTAAAATTTGAAATTAAAATTTAGCATACCTAATAATAATAATAATAATAATAATAATTTGCTCGTCAGTTTTTTTTTTTTTTTTTTTCCTCATTGAGAATTCGAGAGTTGTGAAATTAAAAATGGAAGGAAAAAAAAAAAAAAAAAAAAAAAAACGGTTTTAATTTATGCTTTCTTGTCATTTTTAAAACTATCGAATTCGATTCCAAAAAGTGTTTAAATAAAAAAACTTGGATTTTCGTGTGAAAATCGATTCTTTGTTTGAATTACACAACATATCTCTCTCTCTCTCTCTCTCTCTCAGGTATTGAAATTTTAAAATGTTTGATATTAAAAAGAAAAGAAAAGAAAATGCCTGTGTTAACACCACCACCATCATCATCATCATCATCATCGTATATTTTTCTTTCAAAATGGCAGAAAGACATAAATCTTTATTTAAAAAGGAACAAAAACTATGAAAGTTAATCAAGGAAAATCCCCGGGAAAGAATGAAAATAATAATAATAATAATAAAAAGCAAAGAAAAATTTAAAAGGTAATAAATGCAAAGTCGGAGTTTGTTGTTTGTGTCTGTCTGGCCTGTGCAGAATGCAAGTTATCGAAGGAGAAAAATAATAATAATAATAATAATAATAATACATAATAATAAAATGAGGTATTAGAAAGATAAAAAAAAAAAAAAACAAAATGCAGGTAGAGTGTTGACCTGTGGTAAAGAGTGGTTGGCCATGAAAGAAAGAAAAAGAAAAAAAGAAAAAAAAAAAAAGGTATACACACTGTTGAAGGTGTATATAATGCCACATGCACACGTTGTCTATTCGTTTTAGCATTCAAGCATTGGGTGTATATAAAAGAAACCTCCATCTATCTATCTCTCTCACACACACACACATAAATCGTGAACTTATGGAGAGAGAGAGAGAGAGAAAAAAAAATTAAATTTTTTTAAATAACCTGATTTGGTTGTCGTTTGTTGTCTTTGTCGTTTGTATACTTTCGCGAGTGTTATTATTATGAATGTAATTAAATAAAAATCCTGTCGTTTGTTCGTTTGTTTTAATTTTTCTTTTGAAAAAAAAAAAAAAAAAATGATGGCAACGTTAAAGTTTGAGGTCATCGTCTCTTAATAAAACGAATTCAAACATGTCGAAACCGTTTTTTTTAAATAATAATAATAATAATTTCTTCTTCTTATTTCTAGTTTCTTGGGTTTTGGGTTTTGTTTGTTTGTTTGTTTGTACAAACAAACGAACGAAGGAAAAAAGGGTTGAAACCTGTAACGTGTTTGTATTATTAAGAAGGGCTAAAAGGTTTCGATATATCGAATGGTAAAATAATCGATATTAAACTTACTGGATAATCGAAGAAGTTATTTAGTCACGCCAACGGTTTTTTTGTTAAATTTGAATAATAATAATAATTTTCATGAGTTGTTCCTTTTTTTTTTTTTTTTTTAGAGAATAACTCGAACACAAAACACTTATTATTATTATTATTTCGGTTTTATATAATCACATTTAAAAAAATTTAATTTTATTCGAAAAACGCACAAACTGGAAAACTTCACTGGAAAACTTTTCGAACACAAACAAAAAAAAATCCGTTGGAAAAACACAATTTTTTATTATCGATGGTTATTATTCGAATTAATTAAAGAAAAAAAAAAAATATGGCGGAATAAAAAAAAAAAAAAAAACTTTTTTAAAATAATATCCGTGCACGCAATTGATGATTTCCTTCCTTCTTTTTTCTTTCTTTCTTTCTTTCCTTCTTTTTCTTTCCTTTTTTTCTCTTTCCTTTTTTTCTTTTCCTTTTTTGTTAAATAAAGAATAAAAAAATTATTTGTGTGTGCAAGAGAAAAAGAGAGAGAGAGGAAAAAAAAAAAAAAAAAAGTCACTAGCAAACCGGACTGAAAACCGGACAACTGTACACTTCAACGAGCCTGCGGTGCCTGATATGATGAAATTTTAAATTTTAAAAGATCTCATTTTTCGTTGCGAATTAATCAAGGAGCAAAGTCTTTTTAACGGTCGGGTTAAAAAATTAAAACTATGGATTTGATTTGAGTAAATCTTTTGTATGTAATCGCGATGGCATTTTTCACGAGACGATGGCAAGTTTTACGTACCTTGTTTTTTTTCTATCTCTCTCTCTCTCTTTTTCTCTTTATCCTCGCGTGTGGTTCGTTTGCTCTCTCTCTCTCTCCTCCTTTCTCTCTCTCTTTTCGATGCGATTTGCATAATTTTTATACATATAACCAAATCAATTTAACGTAAATTAAAATTTTTAAAAATCGTAATTAGGAGAAGTAGGTATCGCGGCGTACATTTTGTGAGTATCATTCACGGGTACTCGCGTCGGAGGGGCGCGGGGAGGGGGTGGAATCGGGAAAACTTTTAAGAATATTCGAATTTAAATTTTTTTTCTTAAGTTTGCTGGTAACGTATAAACACAATCGCGTGATTATTATAATTAAATCTAACTTTTTAATTTTTTCATTAATCCCGTTCGAAAGGTTTTTTTTCCCACACGTCTCTCTCTCTTTCTCTCTCCCTCTCCGTCTCCCTCTCTTTCTAACCTCTTCATTTTTTTTTAAGTGTGCGTGACGCATAAATAAAAATTGTTGTTGTTATAGTAATCGTCAGTTTCAATGCGCTTGCTCCGGACGACGAGACGCGGGGTGACTACGATTAAATTTAAGTTGACTACTGTCATAATTTAATTTAACACGATTCGGTCAGTCTTTATATATATATAGGATTTTTAAAAACTCGATTATGGCATGAATTAATGAGAAATTATTATTATTATTTTTTTTTTTTTTTAATAAAGAATTTTGAAATGCAGAAAAAACATCGGAAAAAATAACTAAAACGAATCATCATCATCATCATCATCATTATTGTCATGATATGATGATGATATTGAGGTATTTTTTATTTGATGAATCCGATGATCGTTTTATCTATCTATCTCTTTCTCTCTTTTCTCTCTCTCTCTCTCTCTCTCTCTCTTTCTTTTTCGTTGTGCCTTTGTTGTGGCAGCGCAGTTTTTTTTTTTTTTTTTCTTTTTCATTCGTCGTCTTCGTTTTACCTTCATCATTTTATTCTTTTTTTTCGAATTATTATCTTCGACCATCTTTTATTTTATACCTTCTTTAACCTTCCCTCCCCTCCCCCCCCGACGGAACGAGACCCACGATTTTCATCTCCTCTCCTATATGATTGTGAACGCGTGGAAAAGTCGTTATATAAAGAACTTGTATGTAAGAAGGCGGTGGGTAAGATGTAAAGAGAGAAAGAGAGAGAGAGAGGGGGGGGGAAAACCAATAGAAAAAGATAAAAGATGGGGTGAAAGAATATATGTATGTATATTTGATCAGACGGTAGTTAATTGACGGCCCGAAGCTCGGTTATTATTCTTACGTTTAAAAAAAATTTTATTTTCAATGGTCGTCGTCGTCGTCGTGTCTTTAGGTTTCTCTCCATTACACCTGTGAATGTTTTACGTTTGTTTTCTTCTCCCACTACCACCACCACCACTACGACTACCATCGATTAATTAATATTAAACGAAAGAGAGAGAAAATAATTCACGAATTAATTAAATTTGTTTACGACCACGACGCGAACGGTCGTGTCATCAATTCTATATCTGCGTTCACGTCTTTTTATTTATTTTTTAAAATTTACTTTTTTTCCTTCACGACGACGTTTTTTTTTTTTTTTCACACTTATGCGATCGTTTTTCTTTTGTTTATTTTGTTTAAAAAAAACGTTTTTTTAATAAAAAAAAAAAAAAAAAGAAAAGGAAATGTCGTGTCTTATCTTTTTTTATAAAAAAAAAAAAAAAAAAAAAAAAACAAAGCTTCGTTAATGTTTGTTTTTAAAATAAAAAAAAAAAACTTATTTTGTGTTTGTTTTAACGGATTTTTTTTCCCCGTCTTACAACCAACCAAGGGCAAATTTTTCGAATCCTTTTTTTTCAGGTTTTTTTCCATTTTTTACGACAAAATTTTGAAAATGGAAAAAATGTTTTGTGCCACCCACTTTGACATGGTTGCATATAATCGTATCGCGATTAACTCGAATAATAAAAAATAATAATAATAATAATTTTCGTATACCAAAAAAGAAAATCATTCGAATATTATTTAGTCATGGTTTTTATTTAAAAAAAAAAAAAAATTTCTCGTACGTACCTAATTTTACAGGTTTTATTATGTCCTCCCTTCTCCCATCCTCCTCTTCCCTCCCCTCCCCCCTTTTCTCATTTTTCCTCTTTTTTTTAATTCGTTTATTATGTAATTATCAATGAATTCACGGTTTATTATTATTATTATTATTATTATTATTATTATTATTATTATTATTATTATTATTATTATTATTATTATTATTATTATTATTATTATTATTATTATTATTATTATTAATAATTTTGACTATGTAAAATTGAAAATTGCGTTCAAAAATTTTTTTTTTTGATTTATATTCTTATATTGTTGTTTCTAATGAGGAAAAATTATTTATTATCATTATTATTATCATTATTATTATTAATCACGAACGAATTTTAATGAAATTTTTTTTTTTTTTAATGAAAATTATGAATCAGTATCGGTTTTTTTTTGTTGGTGAAATAATAATAATATTATTATTATTATTATTATTATTATGAGTCATTTGTTAAAAATCGGCGGTTGCGAGTTAAAAACGCCATTTTTATTTTTAAAAGAGTAATAATAATAATAATGATTATATTTAAAAAAAAAATTCATTTTCGAACCGTCTGGAACATAAAAAAAAGTTGACGACTAATAAGATATGTTGAAATATTATTATTATTATTATTGTGTTTTTCTCTCTTTCTCTCTTCGAAGCAGACGATTAAAAAAACAATTTTTTTTTTTTCTTTATGGAACCTCTACCGGTTTAAGGTACGAGAATAAAAAAAAAAAAATGTCGCCCGAGAGAGAAAGAGAGGGAGAGATAGAAGTCAAATCTTAATTGAGTTATTTTTTCTCTTTCATTTTATTATTATTATTTTTTTTTTTTTCCTAGGTACTTTTAGGTATTAAATATCTCGGTTTAATTACCTGTTGATTACCATCTGAGTGCGTGTGTGAGTGCGTGCGCGTTGTGCGTTTCAGGCACATGATAATATTTTTTGAATGGGGGAAAAAAAAACTCAAAGGTTAAATTCATCATTGAAAAAATATTCAAATGATGATGATGATGATGATGATGATGATGATTAATGGTCATTATTGGGAAAATATTTTTTTTTTTGCTGGATGGACAATGACTCCATTTGTTAATATTTGTTCAGAATGAGATTTTTTATACGAGGTATGGAATCGATACCTTTTAAGAAGAGTGAGAGAGAGAGAAAAGACTAGTAGATACTCGTTTTTATTATTATTATTATTATTCCTTTCTCAACTCGTCATCTTATTTTATCTTCAAATCGGACTTGGAAGAAATGTAAATTATTTTGGTAAGAAACAAACCCTTCTTTGGTTTACCAAAAAGAACATCACAAAAGGTGTGTGCGTGTGCGTGTGTGCGTTGTTAGATTGATGACTCACAGATAATTTTTATTTTTATTTATATCCGACATAACTTCTTCTTCTTCTTCATCTTGTTGTTGTTGTTGTGGTCTTTAAACCCTTTCGAGTTTTTTTTTTTTTTTTAACTCGCGAGGAGGATATTTAAAATTATTATTATTATGAATCCCTTGAAAACAAAACGGTTTGCATTATTAAATGTGGTATGGGTCCCAGTACTCCCACGGGAACCGGAATAGTTTCCCACATCCTGGCTATTTCAATTTCCAAATTTCTGCACTTCAGCCTTTTGTCTGTCTGGTGTTTTCTTCTGCCGGCACGGATACTTCAATCAGCTTCCACCGCATTATGCTTCTCAGGATGATATCCGGTTTGTTGGCTAGCACAGTTCTGTCAGTATGGATTTTCTGGTCGTACAGAACTGTGTGCATGGACCTACTGTCGTAACCGGGGTTGGAATGTGGTTGTACCACTCTTTGGGTAATCCATCCATTCCATATTCTCGGCATATATTCCAATGGAGATATTGACATATTTTATTGTGCCTTTCTAAGTATTCCTGTTTTGCTAATATCGAACAACCGGAAATTAAATGGTCGATGGTTTCCGATTGGGATTGGCAAATTAGACACTTGTCATCTTGGCGGACTTTTAGAATTGTACCTTCTCATAATTATGGTCCGAAAGGGCTGATCTTGAGCAACTTTCGTTATAAATGCTTTCCTTTCAATTTTTTCATCATTATTATTATTATTTTTCAGAAAATTGGGACTCGATCTCGTTCCGAGAAAAAATGCCGAAATGGTTGATCCTTCTTATATGAGCGTAGTAGAACTTTACGACGTGGTTTGTATTTAATTTTGATCATTTATTATTTAAAAATGTCTGTCAATTTTATTATTATGATTTTCAATTTATGTTTTCAGCACGTTCAAAGTTCGGAAAATTCAAATTCGGCTCTTCAAAGGGAACAAAAACCGGGGAACGTGAAAAAAATATTATCACATCATTTGTACATGTGCGTGAAAACGTTCGGTTACAACATAGCAGAAGAAGCGGAAATTTATTTGGCTCTCTACGACAGCGAATCGGGAAAATTTTTAACGGATAGATTTTGGATACAAGTATCGAAGCAAACGATAGCAAATTGCATTGATAAATTTCAACCATATTGCACCGTTTTTACGGTTAGTGTACCTTATCCCCCCCCCTCTCTCTCTCTCTCTCTCTCTCTCTAATGTTTTATAATTCATTATTTGATATTTCAGGATCTCGGTAATGCGGATCTCACGAAAAAACTTTATCTTGTTGCTCGTGTAATGAGAGTTGGTAAAATGGTAGCAAATGATTCTGTGAAAAAATCAAACGATAAAAATCCACAACAATGTTTTAAAAGACCTGTAGGAGTTGCTGTTTTAAATATATCAGACATAGGTCTTTTAGATACGACCGCAGGTAAAAAAAAAAAAAAAAGAAAAACGTTTTTTTTTATTGCCATATTGTGGAATCTATTGTTGAAAAGTTATTTGCAGATTTTTAGGTTCCCTTTATTTTTATTATTATTAGTAATCTTTTGTCTGGTTATGAGATATTTTATTGGTAATTTATGTAAAAGTCAATAAACTTTTATAATTTTCCCATCATTTTTTTGTTAATTTCAGGGAGTGAAGAAAAAGAATTTACTTTTAAAGTTTATCAAGGTGAAGAAAAAGATTTTTTTCAACTCCATGAATTTATTATAAAAAAACAAAATAATAAATTCAGTCCTTTGCAAAATCAACCAAATTATAGTGAGTTGAAAATGTTAATTTAAAAAAGGGAAAATGGAAAACTTTCTATGCATGATTCATAAATATACTAAATTGTTATTGTCAATTAACACAGTTTATGGATTTTGAATGTTTTTTTTTTGTTTTTACCTTTTTAAAAAATCTCATTAACTAAATTGATTGCACATAAAATGATTATTTGTGTTTTGATTATCATTTTGTTTTAAGTATTAATGTGTGTAATTTTCAGGTATTGTTGTCATATTTAAAATGCTTCACGGTGAATTGTCTCAGGTTCGAGAAGAAAATCCGATATTGTTTAAAAATATATCTCTAACGAATAAACTCGGGTTCCCCGATATTATTTTACCTGGAGATGTTCGAAATGATTTGTACATAACATTAGACAAAGGAGAATTCGAAAGAGGTGGTAAATCGACGAGTAAAAATATTGAAGTGACCGTTATGGTGTTGGACGGATCTGGTAATGTTTTAGAGGTATTAATATATGTTTTTTTTTTTCACCAATACACTTTTCCAATTTCAAACTTTTTTCGTCGCTAATTATAAATTACCGTTTTTTTTTTACTTAAGTAAAAAATTACGTTATTTTCAAAAAAATAAATTCTTTTAAATTGACGGTTAAAAACAGAAAAACGCTTCGTCAAAGTCGATAGTAACGCTCCTCGCGGTATTTTTTCGAACCTTTTAAATCGAAATGAAATTTTAATAACCGTCTCTTAAACCTTTCAAGATTTTTTTTAATTATCGCGAGAATCATCATCATTAGTGATTATTATCATTCTCAGGATTGTTTATGGGGAGCTTGTGGTATGGAACCAGAGAGTCAATATCACAGTATGATCATATATCATCACAATAGTCCTCATTGGAATGAAACAATTAGGCTCACCGTACCTATAGATAAATTTTCTAAAGCTCACGTTAGATTTGAATTTCGCCATTGCTCAAGTAAGTGAAACTTTAAATACATTTAATTTCAATTACTGATTCATTGAATATTCATTAATCGTTCCAATCGATTTTTAAAGCTCGAGAGAAAACGGATAATAAAAAACTTTTTGCATTTGCATTCGCTCGTTTAATGTCTAAAAATGGCGCGACGTTGAAAGACAGCACTCACGAATTGTACATATACAAATGCGAAGATAAAAGTAAAATGAATCCCGAACAGTACCTGAAACTTCCATCGAATACATACGATACAATCGAAACGAACACATCTTCATCTGGATATTCAAGAAGTTCAAAAGAAGTTTTTCATATCACAACTTTATTATGTTCGACAAAGTTAACCCAAAATGGTAAATTTCAAACATTAATTAAAGATGGAGGAACAAAAAAAAATTATTCAAATCTTTTAAATTTATTTTAATTGTAAAATCCTTTTAGTGGATCTTCTCTCGTTATTAAAATGGAAAGATGATCCCGAACCCATAAGCGAAACTTTAAATAAAGTTTTAAAACTCGGAGGTGAAGAATTAGTTAAATTTTTACAAGATGTATTAGATAGTTTGTTCGCCATGTTTTCAACGGAAGATGGTAATTCAACCCCACATTCCGGACAAGTTTTTCATGTTTTGGTTAGTAATTAAAAAATTAATGAAAGATAATTAAAGAAAACGACAGAGTTTAAAGAGTTTTTCTCTTCATTTTTTGTCAGGTATCTATTTTTAGTTTATTGGAAGAAGGAAAATTTGAACATTTCAAACCGGTTATGGATACGTACATAAAAGGACATTTTGCTGCTGCTTTAGTTTATAAGTAAGATTTTCTTCTTCCCCTCCTTCCCCCCTCCCCTATTTAAAGAATTTGTATAGATTTTAAATTTTTTTTTTTTTTCTAGGGGTTTATTAACATCGGTTCAACATTGTGCAGATTATGTTCAAACCAGTGGCAATCAAGAGCCGTTACAAAAATGTTTTCGCTCTCTAGAATATATTTTTAAATTTATTATACAAAGCAGATTACTCTTTGCAAGAGCCACAGATGGACAATACGAAGAAACTTTTCGTAAAGATTTATTTTCATTATTTAAATCGTTAAATATGATGTTGTCGAAAAATAATACTCATACTCTCAACACTCAGGTAAAATGAATAAAATTTTTGGCTATTTATTTGTTAACGTACGTTTACCATTTAAAAACAGAAAAATTTTTCTGTTTAGATCGCCGTACTTTATGGCATATCAGCAGTTTTCGAACTTTTAACTCAAGTGTTGCCAACTGTTGAAGTCACGAGACTTGCTTCTTCAATGCTGGAATCTCTTCCGATAAGAGATTTATCTCCACAATTGGCTCAAGCAAAATTAATCGCTATTAAAAACATGGTTACGAGCAAATTATTTTATGAAGATGGTATTACCGTTTTTTCGGGGGGTGAGGGGAGTAAAATTATGGAAATGATAACGAATCTGTTTTTGTTTCAGAATCCCGTAATCTATTGCTTTTAACATGTTGCAAACATGTCAAATTACATTTGGCACATCGTGACGAATTGAAACTTTGCAGTGAAATCATAATCGAAATAATAACGTATTTATTTAATCAGAAACAACTTCAAAATGAGGGGAAAGTTAATAATTGCATCATAATGGACATCGAAATCCTTTGTTTGCACATAATTGAACCCCTCGTACAAACATTGATTGCCATCATTGACTGTCACAGTCCTGTTCTGGTAACCTTTTTTACTCTTTAAAATCAAAATTTTTATTTATTTCTCTTTAAAATAGAATTTTCTCTTTAATTTTAGGGTTGTCTCGTGACGTGTTTAATGGGTATATTACAACTCGTGGATGATTATATTTACGACAAGATATGGCAAGAATACGACGACAGAAGATGTTTAAAAGAATTATTATTGAATTTATTTACCGTTTTTCACGAACTCATTAACATAACCGTTTTTCCACCCGATTGGTTAATAATGAAAATGGTTTCGAGTAAAATAATATTAAACGTCCTCGAAGAAATAATCAAACCTATGAGAACGAAATTTTTAAAATCACCACAAATCGATATAACGGTGAGTCGGAATAATATTTTTTAATATTTCCTTAATATATTAATTAATTTATTTATTTATTTAAATTTTAGATATGGTCGACGTATTTTAAATTAGCCGTGTCTTATTTAACTCAATCGTGTTTACAATTGGAAAAATTCAGCACTGTTAAAAGAGAAATGATTGTGGAAAAATATGGAGATATGAGAGTACAAATGGGTTATCAAATAATAAACATGTGGTTTTCATTAGGTATTTGAGACACGATACCTTTTTTTTTTTTTAAATATTAATTTCCGGTTTTTTTAATAAAATTTTTTTTTTTAGGAGATAATAAAATACATTTTACTCAGTCAATGGTCGCGCCATTTTTAGAACTCACCCTCGTACCGGATCCGGATTTACGTAAAGCAACCCTACAGATATTTTACGATATGATAGAAGTCGAACAACAACATCATGGAAATTTTAAAAATGTCGAAAATGAATTAATCGATAAACTCGATATATTGATATCGTTAGAAAACAAAGGGGATGACGATTACAGACAATTATTCAGCACTATGTAAGTCTCTAACAAACAAAATATAAATTTCGTGACGCAATTAAAATTTACCCTAATTTTTTAAATAAAAATTGTTCATTTTTTATTGCTTTCGTTTATTGCTTATTATTCAGGGAGCATTTAAGTTTGATGTAAGTTTTCTTTTTTTTTTGGGAGTGGGAAATTGTTTAGTGATACAGGATTTTTTGTACATTATTGTATGATAATTATTAAATTATTTAATTAATTAGATTGTCGGATAGAGGAAAAGTGGAAAAACCATGGTGGAAAGATGTTCGAAAAGCATTTATAACAAAAGTGACAAGACTTTTAGAAAGATTATTAGATTATAGAGAAGTAATACACGGTGATGAAAATAGGGATAAAAGAATGCATTGCACCGTTAATTTACTGGTCGGTATTTTCTTTTCCTTTTTTTTTCCTTTTTTTTCCTTTTTTTCCTTTTTTCCTTTTTATTTATTGAAATAAAGAGTTTTTGTTTGTTAATATATAGAATTTTTATAAGAACGAAATCGATAGAAAGGAAATGTATTTGAGATACATTCATAGACTTCACGATTTACATTTATCGGCTGAAAATTATTTGGAAGCTGGATTTACAATGAAATTATATGCGGATCAATTAAATTGGAGTACACAAGTATTACCCGTAAGAAAATTTATTACCTAATAAAAATCTTTTTTTTTTTTTTTATTAAATAGTTAATAATTATAATTTTAAATAATTTAGGCAGACGATCATTATAGACTTCAAGAAGAATGGCAACGTAAAGAAGAATTATTTAAACAAATCATTGGTTATTTCGATCGAGGAAAAGTAATTGGAAAAATAATCCTTTTTTTTTTTGGGGGGGGGGGTTTTGTTTTGTTTTGTTGGTTATTTGAAATTTTTTATTTGATTTTTTTTCAGGCTTGGGAAAAGGGAATACCACTTTGTAAAGAATTAGCAAATTTTTACGAAACGAAATTATTTAATTATCAAAAATTATCTGCCATATTGCAAACGGAAGCAAAATTTTTCGATAATATTCTCACTCAACTCAGACCCGAACCGGAATATTTTAGAGTAGGATTTTACGGTTTAAATTTTCCACTTTTCGTCAGAGTAAGTTTTTTTAATAGTATAATCGAATATTATACGTATTTATTATTATTATTATTATTATTTTTTTCTTTTGTCCAATCAGAATAAAGTATTTGTATATAGAGGAGTTGAATATGAGAGAATCGGTTCTTTTACTCAACGTTTACAAACTGAATATCCGAGTGCTCAAATACTAACGAAAAATACTCCACCAGATGACAGCATCGTAAATGGATTCGATCAATGTAAAAAATTTAAATTTTTAAAATTTATTTTAAAATTATCATTAAAACTTATATTATGCACATTTATTTAGATATACAAATATCAAACGTGAAACCTTTGAGCGAAGGAAACGTCATTTTTCAAGGAATGTCGGATGTACCTGAAAAAATAGCTAGTTATTACGAAGTTAACGATGTTAAAAGATTTCAATTGGATAGACCCATGCACAAAGGACCGGTCGATAAGGATAACGAATTCAAGGTACATCGAATCCCTTATATAACATTTAACGGTTATTTAAACGGTTTGATTTTTTTTTTTTTTAGAGTCTCTGGATCGAAAGGACTTTGTTGGTTATAAATCAACCATTGCCGGGAATTTTAAGATGGTTCGAAGTTGTCGGTAAAAGCGTCGAATTGATTCCTCCAGTTCAATTTGCTTGCGAAACAATGGAAGCCATGAATAAAGAATTAAAACAATTAACGGCCGTTTATCATGCCGAACCGAAGAGAAATATAAATCCATTTTCTATGAGGCTTCAGGTACGCGTACCTGATTACACGTCTTTCACGAAAATGAAAGATTTACTCACTCGTGTGTATATTATTTACAGGGAATAATCGATGCGAACGTTATGGGTGGTATTGCTAAATATCAGCAAGCATTTTTCGGACAAGAATTTGCTACCAATCATTCCGAGTATCTTCCTTTTGTTGGAAAATTAAAAAGTCTTTTAAACGAACAAGTGAGTCAATTTGAAAGATTTTAAACGAGTAAAACATGCTTTATTATTATTATTATTATCACCTCTGTAATTTTCAGATCGATTTGTTAGAAAGTGGTCTTCTGCTACACGGAAGATTATGTTCAAGCGAAGTTCAACCACTACACAAACGTTTACAAGAAAGATTTCTTCAATTGAAAAGTTCATTTAGAGAATCCGGTGGTAGAAGCATAATTAAGTGAGTTTCCATTGTTTTATTTTATTCGTTTTCGAAGAGTATGAACCATTAATGATTTTTGGGGGGCGGGGGTGTGAAATTTTAGCACTCCGTTACCACCACTTCCGGTCGAAAGTAAAAAATTTAACCAACATTACGAAATGTACAACATAACGAATAGATATTCAAATTCTATGCCGATTGAAAATCATTACGAAGATGGGATTTATAGTAAACCAGCGGTGAGTTTGTTTGTTTGTTTGTTTGTTTGTTTGTCGAATGTAATTGATTTATTATCGACAAACAGGAATATCCTGATACTCCTCCGATTCCGCATAGAAAATCATCGTCAAGCATCGGAGATTGTAGTCATCAGGAACGACCGCCGAAACCAACACACCAAAGATCTTTATCGAAACCTTTGTCTCCCAGAACTGCTCGACACGTCATGTCGGAAGATCATAACAATTCGAGTTTGAGAAATTCATGGTCTGAAGAATTAAGAAATGATTCGGATGATGCTCCTCCACTACCTCCACGTGGCATGAGTTAGTATTTGGATAATAATAATAATAATAATGATAATTTTTTGTTTATTTGATTCGACTTTTGGATAATAATTTTCTTTTAGCACCAGACAAAAGAGGAATTTTCCTTCTTGATTCTGTACAACCTCGGAGTGTTCCACCGAAAAGGCCATTGTCTCAAAAGGTTCTATAATAATAATAATAATAATAATGGTTTATTATATTAAAAGGCGGTGATTTATTATAAATAAATAAATAATGTTTCAGAGCACGACGTCGACGTCGAGTTCGGTATTTTCAGGTGATTCTGCCGGAGATGTACCTGTCGATGGTGGCGCCGACAGCGATTCGAGTGAAACAACGTGGAAAAATGATTCCTAGGAAATGCTTTCTGGTTCTGGCTGTTGTTCCGGCCACGAACCAGATCTCGATGGTAAACTATACTACGGCCATCTTTTTTTAAACGACATCTCAGTAGTGTTAAAATGAGTTTTTTTATTCTCCAGCAGATTCGACAGTTCCAGACGAGTGGGATGGTAAAAAAATTTATCGTAAAGAAAATAAAAATTTTGAAACAATCGACCCTCTTCTTCTTCCTCCTCCGATTCCACCAAAAAATTCTATACTTTTAGAAAAAAAAGATTTTGTTGATTATTCGACGTCGTCGTCGTCGTCGTCGTCCTACAGCAACAACAACAACAACAACGAAAAACATGAAAATTATTCCGTTCCAAGAGTTTAAATGGAAAAAAAACCAAAGAAAAATTTTTTTTATTTTTATTTTTAGATATTAGATATTTATATATGTGCGTGTGCGTGCGTGTGTGCGTTTGTATGTGCGTGTCTTATTAAAAATGAGAAGAAGAAAGTTCTAGAATCGAAGTTAATACGGAGACTGAAAGTTTTTAGTTTTTTTTTTGTAAATATTATAGAATCGAATCGAAAATTTTATTATTTTTTTTATTTTAATTCGAATGCTCATCATCATCATCATCATCATTATTATTATTATTATTATTTTATATGAAGCAAAATATAATATTATAATCACTGCTGAGCAGAAACAAAATCATTTTTTAATTTTATTACACGTGTGTGTGCGTGTGAGTGTACGTGTACGTTCGTATTAATGAGTAGAAATAAAAGTATTGATTTTATAATGAAATTCAAAAATAGAAGATTATTATTATTATTATTATTAGTAATAAATGATGAAATTTAAATTTCAATCATAAATAAATAAATAAATGAAATGTATTGTAAATGATGTTTTTTTTGTTTTTGTAATTGTGTAAAGAAAAATAAATAAATAAATAAATTCAATTTTATTTAATTCATTTTGTTTCATTTTATATTTTGTTTAAATCATTTACCGGATGGATTTAAAAAAGGGGGAGCGCCTTCCAACTCTCCTCCTTCGAACTCCATATCGCTCGGCGAACGCGAACCCGCGAAACCCGCC